AACTTAGGCGTTGGCGTTGACGCTGACGTTGGCATCGCTTCCTTGATGGCGCGGCTGCAGTACCAGACAAGAAACGACGTTTCTCTCTGTTAGCTCTTCGGCGCCCACTCATTTGGCCACCCAGCAAATTCCACAGTGATCCGTTAAGTCGGGGCTAATCCCTCAGCGGAATTTGGCGCATCTAATCAAAATCCGTATCCGTGTAACAGCTTGGGCTAACGCAATGCACCCAGACCCAAAGCCTGAAGCCTACAGCCCAAAGGTGTCTACGGCTACGGCAAGTTGGCCAACAGCTTGTGCTGCTATCAGAGCAAACAACTGAGCCAAGTGCAAGTGTGGATAAACACAGCGTTCGATGGAAACCCCACGGAACAGAACAGAACAGAACGGAAATATTTGAGTAAAACGAATTCCATCCAGTTCGTGGAATCACATGTTCGAGTCTCGTAGTGCAGTGGCAGAAAGTGCACACTCAGTGCAGATTTTGTACATTCAAATAACAAAAGATCCCTCAGATGTTCCGAGTGGCATTGAATTCGATATTGTGTAGCACAAAGTCGGAGATAGCAATCCGAACGTTCAGTTCGGATATTATGATTATTGAGTGGTCATAAAGATAGGATATCATGATGCTGATATATGTACAACACTGGTTGTATATACTTGTTTTAATAGATGCTATGCGGCGCATCTAAATCCAGATACTACCCTACTAGACAATGCAACAAGTACATACATCTATATTTATACAACTATTGTGTGTGATATGTTTGAACTCTGAAAGTATATCAAAATAGAGAAAGAACAATTTTGGAGGAGCTCGGATGTTTGGCAGTCCCGGCAGGGGTTCAGGGGGACTGCTGTACTTGGACTAGTTCGAGCATTCGCGAGTGCCTACCGATAAGATAAAGAAGTTGTTACCCGTACGCGCCTGAAGTTTGGCAATGAGCCAGCCAGCGCCAGTCAGCGCAAATCAGCCAGTCCACCAGTGCGCCGAAGAGAGACATGACAGTGAAAGAAAAAATACAGAGACAAAAATAAACAAGAAGCATGTCCCTAAATCGATTTCGTTTTTCGTTCACTTTCAGCAGGTGCCACAGATGAGGCACCGCTGGCCACGAAGGCCACTGACTGACCACCAGCCATTCCCGGGAGACTCCACTTCCAGCTGAACTGCAGCGAACCCCGCGAGATGCACGACCTCTTCACGAAAGTGCTCGCCAAGCGCGATCTTTCCCGGGCTGGGGATCTCTTCTCCGTGCCCGATGCGGACATTGTGGACGACATCACAGAGGTGGTAGGTTAATCTGCAGATAGATCATTTATGAGCCCCGATCCCTGACCATACATTCATTTTGCGTTCCTTTCAGCTTTCCGAGATCAGCCCCATTATCTCACATGCGGACTACGTGAAGAACAACAACGACCAGAGCGTGGTGGAGATCTGTGTGACTCGGGTGCTCTCCTGCATCCGGGAGACCCGCAGTGCCGAGCGCTACTGTGCCGCCCTGGTGGATCTGCTGAAGACATGCCTGCTCTGGAACCTGCAACCCTCCAGCGCCACAAAGGAGGAGCCACCGCATGCGAAGATCGCCGCTGACATTATCTCTAGCATATTTCTAGTGAGTGGAGCTCAGATTATAATTGCTCATACATCTCATACTTATCTGCTACAATCGAACCCGAACAGAACTACGATAAGAAAGAATTGATGAAAATTGCGCTGCCCATTGCTGTGCAGTTCCTGCCGAAGGGCAACAAGGAGCTGTCGCGCAACCTGGCCAGCTACCTGTCGCTTTCGGCCATCGATCACGCCATCCTGCTGAGTCCGCATACGGAGTCCGTGATGGAGTCCATCCTCTCCGGAAACTACGGACTACTGCGAGTCCTCTCGCAGGTGTATGAGGTCTCCCCCGAGGTGGTGACACCGCACGCGCCGCTGCTTATGCCGCTGCTGCCCCAATGCGATCCGCAGGAGCGCATGGCCGTGTTCCAGCTCTACCTGTTGATCGTGCAGAAGTCACCCGAGGTGCTGGAGCAGTGCGTGCCGCAACTCTGCGGCTTCCTGCTCGACAGCGACACCTCCAGCCTCACCATGCAGATCCTCCTGAAGCTCTCACAACACGGCCCCCACCTGCTCGTCGACCATTTCGAGCAGCTTCGTCTGGCGGCCAAGACCAATCCCAGCACGGTCACGCTGTGTGCCCAGATCCTCACCAACGCGGGCATCGGCAGCAAGGAGACAGCCCAACAGGCGCTCGACTTTGTACTGGAGCACCTGCCCACCCAGGCGCTGTTGCAGCAGGAGGCCACGCGGCTCTGCTCGGCCTATCCCGTCCTCTTCACGGACAAGGTGCTGGCCTGCGTGCGGCAGAAGAATGCGGCGCTCAGCTCCCAGCAGGATGTGGGCAGTGCATCAGCCAACAAAACCTCCGGCGGCGTCACCATCGTCAGCCTGAACAGCACCAGCTCCAGCCCCAGCCCGCTGCTGAAGCCAGCTCCAGTCGCAGGACCGGTCATCCAAAAGGCGGCACCCACCAGCAGCAGCAACGTCAATGCCACACCCAGTGCGGCTGCACCGTCAGCTCCCATGGCAACATCAACTCCAACGTCAGCCCCGCAGCACGCGGGCTACACGCGACGCGTGAAACTGGGCGACTCCCGGAGTACGGGGCGCCTGCATCCAGCCAGCAACACCCACAGGAGCGTCACGCGACTGAACGTCGCCAGCGGCTCCGTCGGAGGCCTCCACAAGAGCATGACGCGGCTGAGCAACACGCAGATTAACCAACAGCCCGGAGGAAGCTCCAACGGGAACGTTGTGGTGCAGTCGGGGGCCGCGCCCAAGACCCCGGCGACGTTCAGCAACCCGCCAGTGACGCCAGTGCCGCCGCTAAGCAACAACGTGGTCATCACTGGCCACAACAAGCATGGGATTCCAGTGACCTCTGGTGGGGTGACTGTCACCACATCGCCCTCCAAGGTGCGGCCTCATTCCCAGGGGCCCTCTACACTACTCAACTCCAGCACGGTGCTGATGAAGTACAGCACGGATGCCCTTAATCAGTCTGTGGGATCGATCTCTATACCTCCAGCCTTGACGGCAGTAGGGGCGCCGGCGGCGGCTGCATCTATGGCCCCATCACAACAGCCGCAGAATGCCGTATCCGTGCACCATGCCTCGCCAGCACTGCCCACCGCATCCTCCGGCAATGGCAATGCAAAGTCGGTGATGAAGCTGCCCGTGAACGGGAATGTAAGTGGGATTATACAGACTATTTCTAAGGGACTTACTGATAGCTGATGACTATAGTGCCATTGATATTTTCAGAGCGAAGTCATTGTCTCGGGTCCCACCACCAATGTGGCGCCGCGACGCAGCGACAACACCAGCCGCACCCTTCTCAATGCCAACAGTGTGATGGACCAAAGGATGAGCACCTTTGAGCCGTACCAGATAATGCGCGATCCCGTCCAGCAGTTCTGCGAGAAGAACTTCAATTCGATCAAGTCCTACATGGACGAGGTCTCGCAACACTTGCCCCCACCCACCCGATGCAGCATCGAGGGTAAGCTTGTGCTTCTGACTGATCTCTGACTCCCCGCTCAATATCTGATCATCCGCAAACACCACCACACACATCCACACACAAACACATCACACAGTTTCCAATGAATTCGCAGAGCGACGAACGAAGAAGGTGGCCAAGCTGCATTTCGCCTGCCAGATACGAGGACCCCACTGCCTCTACTCGAAGACGTGCTTCACGATGCGCACCCGCAACCCCAAGACCTGGATACACATGATGTTCCTGGACTTTCAAGTGCGGCACTTTGTAAGTAGCAAACCACATTGCAGTACCCTTTGCAGATAGCAATCTTGTCACGACACCACCTTTCCACCATTCCGTTTCAGGTGAAGGAAAAGTGTGTGCTGAGCACACGCGAGTCCGGGATCAGCAATCTCAAGAACATCTGGCAGATACTCAAGTGCGAGAACAGAAGCTTCACGGAGCTGGTCACCAGCCAATTTCCGCAGGTCAAGGTGGGTCCTCGGACATGCCGGCGGAGACTAGCTAATATATATGTAAATCCTTGATGTAATTCCAGGACCGCGAGATACTTGTGAATGAGCTGAGACACTCGGGATTTCTGGATGTGTTCGAGGTGTCCATCACCGACAAATCGAATCCGAATTGCAACGAGCTTGAGTACCAGTGGGGCTGCTTCCTGTGCAATCATCCGGACAAGGCGGTGGGATTTCTTAACGGCAGCAACCAGCCCATGATAGAGGGCCAGCTGAAGGAGAAAAAGGGCAAGTGGCGGCTGTTCAGGCGCTGGCGGACACGATACTTTACGCTCTCCGGGGCCCATCTATCGTGCAAGGGATCGGTAAGCTAACAATAATCCAATCACTATAAGAACGGATAGTAATCCAATCCGAGCTGGTTTCTTTTTTGTTTAGAGCGGTGGAGAGAGCATCGATGTGAACCAGATCCGATCGGTAAAGGTGTCGCGGGGGGCACGCAACATACCCAAGGCGTTCGAGATCTTCACCGCCGACCAGACCCTAATACTCAAGCCCAAGGACGGTAAAAATGCCGAGGAGTGGGTGCAGTGCCTCAGCATCGTGGTGGCCCATTCGCAAGCCCGTGACAACCCCACGGCAAAGACAAATAGCCTGCCGGCCCGCAGCATGGGCAGCAGCAAGCCCTCCTTCTAGGATGGCAGGATGCCAGGGTGCTCCTCAGCGATGAGGAGCCCCCACATTGTGAGATTATTTGTAAATGTAAAGAGCAACCACAACACACACAAAAGACAAGGGGCAGCGGCGACCAGAGGACAGCTGTATCCCCCTCCACGCACTAAATACACCATATATACAATATATATTACTCTATATACAGCATATATGTACATATATGTACTTATATATTATCAATAGACTTATCTAGCAAGTACTTACCATTTCAAGGGATTTCAAAAATTGTGCGAAATTGTTTTTTCATTCATAGTTGATTTTTATACATATGTATTTAGTTTATGCTTATTTATTGTACGTGTATTAAACAAACAGCTTGCTTTCAAAGTCGGTTCGTGGCTTTCACCTTTCCACTCCATTCTAAGCTGGAGCAGATCTATCTACATTCGAAGGGAAGGTTTTTGATGTCTGTATTTCTGATGCACTTCTCAGTGCAAAATGGACTTGTCTGTTGACGTAGGAGGATGGGAGTAATTTTGGGACTTTGTTAAACGTGTAGCCGTCAAATGATCTACAGATTCACCAGAAATCTTTGCTATCGTATATCATGTTGCTGGAAATGCAAACGAACTTAGTTTCCGGCCTAAGCCGATTTTTGCTTGTTCAAATTGAAAATTGGGAACAAGGTTTAATGCATTAACAGCAGGAATACCTATAGTACTTTTAATGGGACGCCAGGACTCGAAAAATCAACTGATTCCTTCGCCAAAAAACGCTACACATGGCACTGCTGAAGCATCTTGTATGGTACAACAATATTTGTTCTCTTAAAATAGTTCAACCTTTGAGGGGGTTAAAATGTTTATAACTTATTTTTTGCTTGGAGTTTGGTGACTCTCATCCACATTACAGACGAGAGCTGGACGCAAACATTTGTATCTATCTACGTGTACATATGTATCTAATATTAAACAACTGGCAATAAGTCTAATAGTTAGTTATAGAATTAACAACAATTTGACACGATTCAAGGCAACTGCAACGATGTGGCCACATCCCCATTGGCATTCTGATCAGGCTCGCTTAGGTCCAACAGCTGCGTCCAGTTTGCGTTTAGCCTGACGATCTCCATGTCCTGACGCAACTGCTGGAGCGGCGGGTGTAGCTCCAAGGGCAAGTCGTCCTCCAGCACTCTTGATACATGCTCTAGTTGGTTGGCGTATATCCTTAGACGTTCCACATTGTTGTTATCCTGCGGCAAATTCGATACCTGTTGAGGGGGAGGAATAAATTATATATGAAATATAACTTTAATTAGATGTGCTCTGAATGAGGCTCACCTGGCTGACACATACCGTTCGCAAATACGCACTAAGGCGTGGATCCTGCAGCTGACCGCCAGCGTGCCACATCTTGAGCAGATTGAGGATACCGGCCACATCGCCATGCTCGGTCTCTTGGCTAAGGGGACAGAGCAGGCGCATGGGCGGAAACTCTGTTGTAGGCGACAGCTTCTTGTAGCTGCTGCAGAGCGTGCTCAGCGTGCAGATGTCTTCGTTAAGGCGCTGGCCGTTGGAGGGATGGGCAGTTGAAGGATTAGCGATTGCAATTAGTTTTGTTTTTTCTGGACTGGGCTCTGGGTTTCATTTTAAACGAAAGAGTGCGCTTTTGAGCTTGATTTGTGACTGTCGTATACCATCGATGTCGTGTGGTGTGGTTGATGGAGAGATGATGGAGTGATGATTGAAAACAAAGTGAAATAAATTATATACAAAGATCTGAACTCGAAGCGAACGCCGAAAACAAGAGATAAATAAGCCAAGTGATTTATTTCGAATTAAGACTACAACTAAACTAAATGATTCAAGTAAAAATTAAAATAAGATCGCGGTAGAGAGATTTATTTGTAACATGGTATGAAAACATAAAGTTATATATCTGCCCATGAACGATAATCGATTTATAGAAATGTCTTCGAAGGATGCACAACAGAAAAGGATCCACTAAATCAAGATCTAGAATCTTACGTCGATCTCGTTGCGATGGCGCTGCATCTCAGCCTTGGCTCCGCTGAGGTCGCTCCCCTTAATCATCAGCTCCTGTGTGGCATCCATGAGTTCGTCCTGCAGCTTCAGGTTGACGTCCTCCAAGTCTTTTAGTTTCTCCAGCATATCCTCCTTGTGCTGTTGTAGTTTGTTCCTATAAAAAGCAAGCAATATGTTAAAACTAAATCAGAGCAGGAATTCTCCCCACTCACTTGTCCACAATTAGTTGCTGGATGCAATTGTCGTTGTCCAGCTGAACAAGTCTCAGGACCTTAAGCAACTTGGTGACCAGCGTGTCCACCTCGATCACCTGGTCCACCACCGCCTGAGCCGTGCTGTACTCCATTAAAGACGGCAGCTCTGCGAGCGAGTCGTGGCAGCTCAACTCCTCCGTGTTGCACTGATCGCGAGGACTGCAAGGAAACCGAACCCATGGTAATTAAATGCAATATTATAATAAGATGCATAGCGACTGCTTACTTCATGGGAAGTGCACTGATCTTGTGTACGTGCAGCTCCATTTGCTGACGATTGGTAATGGCCTGTGACAGCTGCTGCAGCGAGTCGTCGCCTGCATTCTGGTGACTGATCAGCTCTGTGGGCAACTCAATCTGGGAGATCATGCCCGTGCAAGATGAGACCATGTTGTGGGAGTGCGAGTCCGGATGGACCACATCCTCCAGCACATTGTCCATCATTAGCAGGCAGGGTTCCGTCTCAGAGTCCAGCATTTCCGTAGAGTCGGAATCTTCTTCAGGCTGCTCGTGGCCCGTGGTCGCTGTTGCTGTTGCTGTTGCCGAACCGTTGTGAGTTGAACCGCCTCCTCCTCCTTCTCCTGCTGAGCCTGTTCCTATTCCTCCATTGCGTTTTCCCGCCTGACGCAGCGATAGACGCTTGCCAGAGTGTGTGGTGGCCTGGCGAATGGCACCGATGACGGCGGCTATGAAGGATTGGTTGCGCTGCGGCGACAGGGAGCCATCGCTGGCCAGGACGAGCGTGTGTATGGCTTCGCCACCGTTTGCCGGACATAGCGGAAGGTCCAGTCCGTTGGGGCGGATGCCATTGGGGACCTGTTCTGATTCTGCCTGGAACCGGATGTCCTGAAAACAGAAGTTTAAATGGTCAAAAAGGCCATAGGAAGGGAACTTTGGTGTCCACTTACCTCCAAATCTTGCTCGGAAATACTGTAGGAGTAGACTAGCTGCTCCACGAGTCCATCCAGGCGGGAATGCAGTCCGGAGAGGGCCGTGGAGGCGCCTGCTACCGATGCATTCTGCTGGTGGATAAGCTCCCGCGACTTGGCCTCCAGGGCCGTGTATTTGGTCTGCAGCATGCGGTTCTCCTGGCGCCTCTGCTCGTTCAGCCGGACCAGATGCCTGCACTCGTCGCGAAGTACTTTAGCCTCCTCCTCGCGATGGGCCAGATGTGTCCTGGCCGCCTGGTGCTCCGCCTCGAGCTCTCTTAGGGCGTCGCACTGGGCGGCCTTTTCGTGCTGCAGGAAGTCCTGCAGCTCGCTGGACTCCTGCTCGATGGCCGCTTTCTCCTGAATCAACAGATGCTGCGTGGCCAGAGAACGGCGCATTTCCAACTGGAGGGTGCGGCACATGGTGCGCAGCTGGCCAATCTCTTGCTGTCGCTCGAACAGCTCGTGTCCGCTCATCTGTATCTGCGACTCCAGCATCAGAAGGCTGTCGTGGCCGCCGCCATCGTTGCTGTCCTCAGAGGTAGGAGTTCCAGCACTGGCGCTGACCACGCGGGCCAGCTCCAGCATCCCCATGACCCGCTCCGTGTTCAGATGCAGCTCCTGCTGCATGGCCAGCTTCTCCTCCCGCTCTCGCTGCAGCTTCCCGCTCAGCTGGCGCACCTCTTGGCGCAACTGCTCCAGCTCAAAGTCGCGCTGGTCTGGTTCCGCCTGGATGCTTTGGTCCCTCTGTTCCACTGCGTCCAAGGATCGCGTCTGTAGCAGCCCCCCGCCTAGGACCTGCTCCAGGTCCTCGCTGGTCAGCGCCGTCTGCACTGCCGTCTCGTGATAGATCTTTGTCCTACCCTGCACCGTCTGCAGGGGACGCCGCAGGGAGTTCACTTTGGCGGTGGCTGGAGCTAGGCTCCGTCTGCTCGTGGGCACCACCATCACCGAAGACGTCATCCTGGCGTCTCGACTGATCGAGTTGCTCCTGGAGAGCCGTCCGGCCGTCAAATCCTCTACAGACTGCTGTTTGCGGCGGCGCGGAAGGGTGCCACCTGGCGCCGGACTTCCCCTCATCCGACAGACATTCACTTCCGGTGTCACAGACATTCCCCGACGTGCTCCTCCCGCTCCCCTATTGGCTGGCCAGCGACCGTCATCCGAGGGGGTTCCTGGCGTTCGTGCCCGACTGAGCGATGGGGTTCTCTGAACCTGGGCGAGACGCTGCACGGACTGGGCCCGATTGAGGGCGCTGGGTAGAGTATCGGGTTTCTGTGGACGTGCCATCCGCGCGGACGTGGGTGTGGCCGTGGGCGTGGTCGGAAGCCGAAAGGAGGCGGACGAGAGCCGTGCCTTTTCACGGCTGCCAGCTGTAGGTGCGGCCGGGGACGGAGGCGCTGCACTGTTCCTGGGCAAGCTCACCGCTCGCTTCAGGTTGGCCACTCTGCCACGCAGCTGTTCCAGAGGCTGTGCCCTCGGGGTGGCACTCTCTGCATTCTGTTCCGGCTCGAACATTGCAACCTTCTTCTTCACCGCGCTGTTGCTGGTGTTCGTGCGCCTTGGGGGCGACTCCTTCTCGCTGCCAGTCTCGCTGGGAGCCAGATCCACTGTGCCGGTGGAGACCACCTTAAGTTCGCAGCTGTCGTAGATATCCTCCAGGCCATTACTGCTGGTGTAGCCCCCGCTGGTGCTGCTGAGGCCCCGCTGCAGCGTCACCTGGGAGAGGCAGCAGCTGCTGGCCACGTCCAGGCCGCTGTCACTGCCATCGCAGTTGCTGGTTGCTGTGATTCCCTCACTCAGCTCTAGACAGGCCAGTCCAGCCACCAGTTGCTGCTCCTCAAGAGCCGACAAGAGATGCTGTTGCTGTTGCTGTTGCAGTTGCTGTTCCTCCGGTTGCGCAGCCATGTCGAAGAGAGTGGCAGACATCGTCGTTCACTCGCCCACTGAGGAGTAGACAAAGAAGAAGGAGGGAGAGAATGAGTATGAGTATGAGTGTAATTCGTGAGTGATTCACTTGTGTCGACCCACATTTGGATTGCGTATTTTTGGGATTCTGGCATTTCGGTCGCATCCCGCTCCCATTTCCCCTTGCAATGCGAAACACAAACAAGTTGCATGCCACCGACCTTTTGCAAGATGGCAAAAATAGGTATTGCTCGCGTGCCTCCCGTGCACCCGGCATCATCCGGCCACAGATTCGACCAAAATTACGTTTTTCGGTCAAGTTGCACGCTTGCACGCAACATGGATCCGTTTTGCTCTGGCAGATGAAATTAAAAACGGACTGGGCACGACTGCTGTGTGGACCGAAAGGAAAGTGGAAGGCCCCCAAGGCTGTGATTGACTCGAACTAGTTTACAGGCGACAGACAGGCCAAACCCACACGACATGACCCGACACGACACCGCTCCGCGACTCCGCACCGCGACACCTGTCCGAGCCACGAGCACCGAGCACCAAACAACCAACAGAACTGGGACACCACATCGCCTGGGCCCTGTCTGAGTCTGGGGGCATACATAAGTTATGAGGAGTCTCATTGTCTCATGGCCCAAACGCTAGCACAATGAGAGACTAACATGCGAAATACAGTGCCACAAATTTAATTTCTGTGCATAGTGCATTGGATAAATGTGTCCGGAATTTTCTCTGTTGTAAACAGTTGGTTCCCCATTTGGTGACTGTACGGATGTACATATTATTGATTTCGTTATTTTATTTTTCCAGTGTCGTTGTCAACATACATATCGCAGTGGCACATTGACCCAACTGGTTGGGTTGGTTTTGGTTGTGCCCCAGCCGAGACACTTTCGGGGCATCCAATTTCCTATGCCGCATTGTTGTCCCAGAGATTCGCTTGGTATTTTGCACTTTATCACGTCGATAATCCTATCTCTCTAGTTGATAGATACTCATACATGCATGTATGTTTTATTTGGGATAATCATCTTTCATTAAAAGGAACCAGGAATCTTGCTTCGCCTTTGAAAGAGTATAAAATAGTCTCCACTTTCAATGGAGACTCTTCTGCATGCTTGTGGCTTGGGTTGGTCTTTTATTGGACTCCGATTCATTAGTGCCATGTTGTTATGTGATCTCTCAAAGATTCTCAACAAAATGTTGGAGATTTCATCAGGCGCTTTTGTTGTTTGTAGCAGAGAGTGCAAATGGCGAAGAAGCAAATTAATAAAGTTGCTCCAGTTTTCAGATAATTGCAAGATCATTTGTTCATATACCTCGAAGGCGAATAGTCACGGCAGAGTGCCAACCGGTTTGTTGGTCTCTTCCTCCTTTAAAAAACCAGAAAATGGGTTTAAATCCTGAAAAAGACATTTTCTTACGATATGTTAAAGTCCGTTTCAAGCGGCACTGCGGCACTCGAGCCCCACTCGAGTGGAGTTTAAAGATACGTTAAAGAGCAGAGTCTAGGCCCCCGACCCAGATGAAGGCCACTTAAAGGCGCTGAGAAGACGCTAAGGATGCCGCAAAGGGGGGCGCTGAGAACGCGTCGATGGGGAGCTTCTGAGTGCCTGCCTCATGGAGACATTGGCCGCACTAGGGCTTGTAATGGAACGAAGCAAAGGCAAAGCCATAAAAAGACACATGTTTGCAACGGCAACGATTCGAGTAGACACACACAAAGCATCTACTGGATACATATTGGAAGGCAGCCGCAGACAGCGGGTCGTCGGAAATGAAGTTGTCGCCGCCAATATCCACAGAATCGATCAGAATGGCCCTGGCAGTAAAAGATGGTAGTTTCCGAAGCTTGGGTGAAACTCGTTTCATTCCTCTGTCACTTCTATGCAACATCGAGCAAGAGCAAGAGATAGAGAGTACGGGGTGGGAACAGGCAAGTGACGCTGCATGCAAGGCGCCCACACGCAGCGGTTTCTTGCCTTGAAAATAGACCCTCTGGAAACCCTTCAAGGGCCAGTCGTCACGGCACATTAACTCCAATCAATGGACGACGCTCTTGATTGCAAAAGCCTGGAACGTCTCCTCCTCCTCCTCATAGCCTCTAATTCGATTACAGCGCTTGATGGAGCAATAATAGGGCTGCTCTGAACGTGGCAGTGTCGAGGCAATGGCAACTTAATTGCTGCTGCAGCCACAGCAACAATTGCAAAGACGAGTGCAAAAAGCGCGTAAATAGATGGGAAATGGCATAGCGCTTGGCTCCACGCTAATTGCTGCCTTTGAAGTCTTCTGCTCTGGCCGAGACAGTCAACAGTCGCACCGCCACAGCGGAGACATCTCCTCCTGTCATCAGACATAAGCATATTTTCATTGAGCTGAGTAGGGGAGAGGCGGACTATTCCGCGCTCTGGACAAATCAAGAAATACCTGATTTCGATACCTGATCTACGATCAATCCTGAGCAAAGAGCTCTCTCCAGCTTTTGCCAGCTGGAGATGAAAGGACACACAGGCAGGTAGGACCCGACAGGATGGATTCAGAAAACGATTACCAAACCATAAATAAATTATCCTCGCTGGAGAATTCCGCAGATCAACGCTATGCAGACCACTGTCAAGCGCTTTTCTGGGAACTGCGTTCGCAATGTGTTCCTCAATTATGTATTCCCATATACCCGTTTCACAATTCCAGCATGAATCTGCAGATGCAGTGCGTTTCACAAATGTTTCAGTGTTTGTTTTTTACAAATTAATGGAAGACAATTTTTATGAACGTCATGTGCAAGATGAAGAAGTGTATGATTTTCCATAGTAGATATATAATACATATGTGATTCTTAGGTATTACATATATATTTATGTACATATGTGTCTGTGACGATGCCTAAATTGAACAAGTCTGCCCACCGCTGGTTTTATGATCACACACTGTACAGTGTACACCAATAATATCTTGAATACAAAAGGTTTGTTATTGAGTCTCAAAAAATTAAATGTAGTACGAAGGTCAGCTTAGTTGGCAAATAAAGGTTTGATAAAGGCTGTGTGCAGCCTCTGGCGTCTTTTACCCAGTGTGGTTGGATGGATATGTACTGTTTGAAGTACTGATAAGATATGAAAAATATCAATCAAAAATACAATTGAAAATTTGAATTCTGTTGCTGCTGGTTCTCGTGGAGTGAGCGTGAGCATGTGCCAATTGGCTGTCAAGTTGATTTTTTCGAAACGCGCTGTAAACATACGGTTCATAACATATGGATGGATGTTTATGCAATCCCATCGCCCTGGCCATCCGTTTATCAGTGACATATGCTCATAGGGAAGAACGTTCCCTTGCATACATCGCACGGTTTTGCTGGCTGTTGCAGCAGTTGCATTGAAATCAATTTATTCCCATATATGTAAATATGTATGTATGTACAGCGGGGTATTTATAGCAATTTATTTCTGCTTCGGATGGCAGGGGATTAGCAGTATCTACCCCTTTTGGGGTACGAACCCACATCCAGAACTTAAAGTTGTGGATGGCTGATTGTGACGACGACTATTATCAATTTATATGCTATTGAACCGTATGTCGTGGGGGTCTCCCACCCCCTCTGAACAGGTGGACTGCTCGTGGGCCTTGCTCGAGCCCATTGGGATACATATGTAGGTACACTCCACTCCCCGATGTGTTACCGTTTGTTGTTTGTCAAAGCACTTCCTGTTCTGGCGACGATCCACGAAACTCCAATGAAGTGAAACATTTGTGACGCGAATTACAATCGAGCGGCCGCCTGCCACTGGCTGGCCCGCATCTGCAGCCAAGCCCTCAGTGCGAGCCCCTCGCAGACACGGCTACAATGTGTTGCAGTTGCAAGTTGCGCGCACAGTTTATGTCTGTGGGATTGGGGCAGGGAGTGGGTCTCCTAATGCTACTGCGACTGGTACTAGGAGTGGGACTTGGGCGATGAGTTCACTTTTCGTGGGGAACATTCGACTCTTCCGGGTTCTATGCCACATCTCTCTCTCTCTCTCTCTCTCTCTATATAGCTCCCTATCGCTCTCTTTGTTTCCCCTTATTTAATAGTATTGCTGGTGTGTTTTCGTTTTGTGTATGTTGCACCTGCCGACTTATCGCATATTATGCACACAGAACAGAACGGGAAAAAGAATTGTAAGCATGATTCTCTAATTTTTAGCCGATTCCGTTGCTGCCCCTCCCTTTCCCCTTCACAGACTTTCTTCAATTTGTTTTGGGGGCTGCAACTCCTCTGTTTCGTTGATGCCGCATGTTTTGTGAATCGAGGAAGAACGACCCGGCCAGGGGCCCAGGGCGGGGCTGCGATGCCTGTCAAGAACGCGGCTTTTGGGGCATTGCCTTGCCCAATGTACTGAGAGAGTAAGAGAGAGCCAAATTCCCAACTCCTAGTCTTGCAACGGCAAAGAGCGAAGAGAGCGGAAGAAGCGGCCGACTGAATCGCTTTTGAAGTTGCCTCTGTATCGGTGGATCCATGGATTGTTGTTGATTTAACAGTTGATGGTTTTTATACCCGGTACTCGAAGAGTAAATAGGGTATATTGTATTTGTGGGGAATAATGGTTGTATGTAACGCACAGAAGGAAACGTTTCCGACCCCATAAAGTATGTATATTCTTGATCAGCATCAATAGCCGAGTCGAATGAGCCATGTCTGTCTGTCCGTCTGTCCGTCCGTCCTTCTGTCCGTCTTGTTTGTCGGCTATTTCTCAGAGACTATAAGAGCCAGAGCTAGAGCCAAAAAATGTTGGCTCCAGACTACTGTATGTTCACACTGAAACCAAATCTACAATCTAAAAGAAAACTAAAAACGCCATTCCGTACGGAATGACCATATCTATCAGATCACCAGATGGGATCCAATTGGATCATTATTATGGCCACAATGAAGAAATTAATTTGCAGTGGCTAAACCCACCCCGTCCCGCAGCTTATATTTGTTTTTTGCAAGTTGTCTCATTCACACTCTGCTTAGCGCAGACACGTCCCTGCCTCTGCCGCGTCTCTGCCCTGAATCTGCAGTGTGTGGCTCTAGGGGAGGGTGGCGAGCTAAAGGAGCGTGTTGGCGTGAGTAGTGTTGTTGACGAGATGACAGATGAAGAAAAAATGTAAAGCTTGAAAAATAACCGCTAAGGTGCAGATGTAGTACTGAGTGCCGGGTATAAAAGTTGTGACGCGTAAGAATCGTCTCACACGTCCCTTCTCGTTTTTTCTTTTTTGTTGCTTTTGCTGATGTTGCGTAATCTATAAACAATTTCGGCGGCACGCAAAAGTTTCGTTTTGCATTTAAAGGAAAGTCTTGACTCAGTAGAAGATTGGGCAACAGAAGAAGTAATGTAGTTTCAGCCCCAATGAAGGGGAAAATATACAAATACCAAATACCATAAAAATCAGAACTTTTTAGAGTGTAATACCCTGATACATTTTTCTACTCGAGCCATTTGAAAACGTGTGAGACGCTTCGTATGCGTCACAACTTTTATACCCGGTACTCAGTCAGTAACTTAGTGGTTTTTTTTTAATATTAAATTTCAAATTTTTTCTACATCTACATCAGGGCTTGGCACGGCCCTATCTAAAGGGTATAGGACAAGGCCCTGCTGCTGCGCTGTCGCTCACGTACACGCGTATTACAGTGATTCGTACCAATACCAATATAGTGAAATGTTCCGTTTTGCGTGCTTATTTTTTCATTCATCAGAGTTCTTAATAGTTATTTTTGAGCACAAAAGATGAGTCAATGAGAAACCCCGATGACTCTCTTTCCAATTTGCCAAGAAAATAAACACAGTGTGCGACAATTTTGATTTGTTTTTAGAGTTCTTAAGTTGTCGAGGGCGTTGAATCGTTCATTGGCCTGGTCTTATACAGAATCCATACGAACTGGAACAGGCGGGAATGAACCGGAATGAAATGGTGCCTAGCATTTCTCCCTCCATTCGCCCGTCCATACATCCATCCGTCTTCTCTCTTTCCGGAGCTCTTTTGGCTTAATCAACAACTCATTGCGTTGGCAATTACTTCGCCAACTACTGAAATTATTGTTCATATGACAGAGAAAGTCTCTGTGCATCCGAGTCTGGGTACTAGTCTGGGTATGGGCTTGGGTTTTCATGGCAGCTGCTGGCTTCTCTTTAACTGTTTGGGATATCAAGAAAATAGCTTTTTACGACATGCCATAATACACATATTTTTCATACCTGATAGATGATCCACAAGTACGAGTACGAATAGTAGTCTATCTAGAGCCCGACTCTGGTCGAATGTGGTCTCTGGCAAAAACAATGAATGGTGTGGTGTACTTCACGCTTGGCAGCGCTTTTTCAGCGGCGTGCGCCACATGACACTCTCCATTGTAGAGAGATACGCGGCATGTGGTGGGACGGGTCGGGCCACAGACAGTCTTGACCATTGACCAGAGACTCTGAGCACAGTTGTTGGGCATGACTGGAGGCAATCGTAAAGCCAGCCAAAGCGAGAAACCCGAATGGCAGAAAGCGGCAACAAGACTTCAAAGAGCAGCTGCTGCTGCTACTGCTGCTAGATGGAGGTGGCTGGAGACGCCACCGAGTCTCGCCTGAGGACCTCGCTCATTGTCAACTTGTGGGGTGTCTCGAAAACTTTGGCAATGTTCCAGGCCCAAGGCCCAGTCCCCTGACAAGGAGGTTCTACCCTCTCTCTTTGCAGCGCTGTGCGGGCCTGCCTTTTGTCTGACGTAAACCGAGACGCGGCTCATATGCTTTGGTTTCAAAAAGCTTGTAGATCAAACAAGACCTAAATCAGGGCGTTCAACTGACCTTGAATGTGGCACAAAAGAACCCCACCAGACACATAAAGATACATATGTACATACATAATGTGTATATCATATATAACATTTCTACAGAACGAACTGGCTGGACTGCTAAATTTCGCACATTTAAAACTTGTTTATCGCGAATTACGACCATACATACACATGTACATACTGATACAAATTGCGATTGGGCTATCGGTCTCTCTGATAAGAGCGTGGTGTCAGGAGAATTCTTTGAAAATGCAGCCGCTAGATAACATTAAGTACTTGTTGTTGCTCTTGTGAAAATTGGAAAGTGGCTGATGGGATAGGGGCAAACATATGTCACATACACAAAAAGGGGGAAGAGTAGAGCGACTCTCAGCGGAAGCCGCTTTAATTGAAGCTTAATTAGCGGCTTCCTGGAGTCGCTACTCCGCCAACTCCATACCTCCCCAATGAACCACTGCTCCACAAAAGTGTCGCATTATGAAATAGCGGTCGCAACGTCCGCTACCCATAATCATGAATATGCTAAACGCAAACCATCTCTTGGCCAAACCAGTGATTAACTTGGCTGATTGTCAGTTGCACCTCTTCCTGATTGCCTTGTCGCTTCAAAATCGATTATCGACGATGTCAAGCAACTGCTTGCAACACGGGGCATAATGGGACCGCGCGGTACGTGCACAGGATATATATTACGGAAGCTCCGGGGGTCGGGTTGCCCTGACCTTTTAATGTCTGCTAAAAAGCAGAGCTACAGCAGAGCTTAAAACCACGACAAGGCGACGCCAGACAACCGCAGAGAGAGACAGAGAAAGAGACACCTATGACCCGCCCCCCACACCCATAGGGAGCTCCCCTTCCAATCCCACTCCAGCTTGAGCTCCCCTCATCATAGTATTCCATAACAACTTTCTATCCGCGAATATTTTGAGAGTACTCACCCACAGAGCAGCAGAAGAAGCGACAGGGTAGAGTGGAGACGGGAGCTGCGCTGTTTCTCCAGAGGGGATGAATGATGATAATGAAGATGATGGAAATGTCAGAGGGTCTCCCAGAGCATTCTCTTTCGATTCTATGGCCTCTGTCGTTGCCGTGCGGTTGGCTGGCTCCGTTGGTGCAGAATTGGATGGCAAGACGGCAATTTGCGCATTCGCGGACGGAATTTACTCAAATTTTCTGCACTCACACACGCGCAAGCAAGGGAATGATCGTTCCAGTGCACACACACAAACACCAACACGCGCGGCAGCAGCTGCAGCAGCTGGAAAGGACTGGAAGATGGACGAGGGGCCAAGTTCCTGCCTTGGCTTCATGCAGGGCCTATTGTTGTTCGTTTCGTTTACCTAACCTAATGGTTTATTTGTATAGAGTCCTCGCAGGACCCACACACTAACACACCACACACACTCACACTTACTGCAGCAGCAGCAGCAGCATCGGTTCAATGGAAAAATCGATTGAATCAATCTGCAGAACAACAGGCCTCTGTGGCATTTACAAGCGGAGGCTCTGGCATTAAGGAAAATCAAGCCTTGTGTTGCTTTTATTGGGTCTGGGGCCCGGGGCCAGCCTCGCGAATTCGTTCCATAAGCCTTCACAGAGACAACCGAAAACCCGTTCACATTCAGCGGCCGTGCCACAGAAAGACACACACAAGCGCGCGTAGAGATCGTGAATTCAAACGGGAATCCAATGCACATATAAAATATTTATATTATATGCATAAATATAATATGAACAATTGTTAATCGACAGTTAACTTTTGCACACTTTTCGAGAATTTTCAATTTTTATGGCGCGCGCGCAGCAATCATTGTCCATTGTGAATGGTGTGTATTGTGAATGGACACAATGTATTTTCTTGTCAACAGTGTTGGCAATTTAGCTATTTCCCCACTAGGTCTAGCGTTTTTCAATTGCCGGTTGAGGGATGGATTATGATATTGCGGGTTGTGGGAAATATTGATAATAGCTTATCTAGCATCAATGCAAAACAGAGCAATTTGCACATACCAAGACAGCCAAGCACACGTTTTCGTCATCTACAAACGAATTTTTTTGTAATTTGTAGATAGGGACTACTCTGGGTAGATGAATGCTTTCATAATTATATAGTACCAGCATTATTCCTAATATAGGTAGGGAAAATCATTCTCACAGACTAACATTCAGCTGCAAAAGACGATATGTTTGACCTCCTTGATAAGTTGTCAGTACTACATCAAAACAATACAAATTTCGTTCCAGCACCCAAGCGTTTTTCTTAGCTGCCATAACAATTTTCTGACTTTTCTAGCTCTTCTCAAAGGCTGGTTTTTAGCCTTTTTATGACTGCGAGTTGGCACCGCTGCTTGTCAAGTGGTGAGGGACATTTTCTCATGTTGTCAAATGGTAAGGGAAATTCTCTCCTGTGTCAAAACAGTCTCGGAAGTGTTCGCCATGCAATCTCATGCTCCAATGTTAGACGCACTTATGAGTAAAATATACCACATGAAAACGCCTACCAAAAACCCGAGAAATTCAAGTATTTTTTTGGAAAAATATAAAAGTTTGGAAATTAACTCGATTTCGATAATCTGTCACTAACCATACAGAATGGTTAAGGTTCTGTTTAATATAACTAGCTGGAACTACAATTAAATGCGAGTGGGATTATTATTATTGAATGGCTTACAAAATAAGGTTAAAATGTCATCTAAAAAACAAGAAAACAACGCATGCTGCAATTGATCTTTGCAGAAATGTAACTGAGCTCCACCTCTTTGTGGTAATACCCCCTTTACAATCGAGTTACAAGCTGGCTACCACTATCGATGTATTTGCATTATCGGCGGCTTTTTTTAAATGCCAGAAGGTTTCAGTAATTTGTGTTTGGCTGTGTACACATACAACAACTTATACACACAAATATGCTTATCTAAAGTTAAAAAATGAACAACAACAAAGTAAAGAAAACAAAATAGTAAGCTTTATGGCTTTTTTAAGCCATTTATATAATACAAAATCGAAAAAAACGAGAAGGGACGTGTGAGACGCTTCTTACGCATCGAAACTTTTATACCCGGTACTCATTAAAACATCCTGTACCTTACTGGTTTTTTTCAACTTTTTCATTTTAAATTTGTTCTACAATTAGTGCGTCCCCCTTCCCTAGAGCCGCACACTACATGAAACAGAGTGTGGAATGAGAGAATGTGCAAATGTGGGGTAGCCACAGCAAGTTCATTTCTTCATTCTGGCTATAATAATGATCCAATCTGATCCAAATTCGGTGATGGCCATTTCCTCGGAAAGGCATTTATTGTGGCATTGTGGCTGTAGGAGATTTTTCGACTTTTGTGCAGCCGGAAGCAGCCTGGAAAAAAAATTTGGTGGCTCTAGCTTTTATATGTAGTCTCCGAGAACTAGACGACAAACAATACGGACGGACAGACTGACATGGCTATAACGACTCGGCTATTGATGCTGATCAAGAATATGTATACTTTGTGGGGTCGGAAACGTTTCCTTCTGTGTGTTCCATACTTCCACCCTATATTTATTATTCGAGTACCGGGTATAAAAACCCTCAGTCTATCAGAAGAATTTCGTTTGATTCGAAGCGGAAAAAAAGTTCGATTTTGTCGAGTAGTGTTATCGAAGGATGAAACCACAGAAGGAACCGTTTCCGACCCGTTTCCGTTACAAAGGATATATGTATGTATGTACATATGTATGTATGTATGTATAATCTTGAGCATTATAGCATATATCATTAGCCGAGTCGATATAGCCATCTCCCTTCCACCTCCACAAAGGAAGAAAGTCTGCATCCATCTGTGATGCATCTGCTTGCTGGGGAGATCGGGCTTAATCGGAGTGTTGTTATGAGCAGATGTGTAGACATAGATGATGAACTTACATATATACATACATACATACATATGTACAAATAAAACTGTAAACAGAAAAAATAGTTAAAAAATTGAAAAAATCCAATTGTTTTATATGTATGTACATATGTATGTACATAAAATTAGGTTATGTGTTCTAATGTATGTACTTTGGACGCGTCTCACAATGTTCCCCCTCGTTTTTTTCATTCTCGGTTCTACCCATTGCGTTATTCTTCAAAGCAAATAAATGTTATATTTTTGTATTAATTTTTATTTCAATAATAATTGTCATCCATTACGTTTCTGGTGAAATTTTACCACTTTCGAAACACGTGAGATACATACATATATACATATTTATGTACATATGTATGTATTTACATATGTATGTACAGAAGGAACAACCGAAATTCGCATGAGTATGAAATCATTTGATAAAAATAGACTCGATGACGTCAACCAGCGTGACCGGCGAGCGTGCGAAGACTCATGTTTACAGAGAAAAATCCTAGATAAGCTTTGAGCGAAACTAGCTTATAAAACGTTGGACAGCATTGGAGAAGTTATCATTTGTTTGTGTTCGAGCTAACCAGCAGCAGCAAAACCGACGGAAGCGGATATACCAAGGTGTTACTCGTATTATTGTTAAAACAGGGTAGCGTATTATTGTGAAAATGTCGAGACTTGTTGGAGTGGAAGGAAAGCAAACTGCGCCCCATGAATGTATAGATTGCAGCGGTCAACTGCCACATCCAAATCCCGTAGAGGTGGAGGACATGGGTACTCCTGCGCTGGAGAAGCTCATACGAAAGGCTAACATTGCTCAGAAAATGTTGGAGGATGTGCTGAAGCAACTGCAGAAGCAACAAGCCACAGAGGAAACTCGACGGGATGGAAAGCACAGAAGGGAAACAAAGTCGAAGCACCGACCTTCTACAGGAGATAAACGACACAAGGGCCATGATCCTGCCACTCTTTCCTCTTTCAGCTCCAACAGCGATGGCAGTGCCAGTGAAAGCGAGGTGATTGCTGTGGCGGAGGAGAGGACTTCGAGGCCGAGGCACATTCGTGACGATCGCAAGCGGGATCGTTCCCGCTCCCGTGGCCGTTCCCGCGGTCACTCTCGTGGCCGATCCCACGGCCGTTCTCGTTCCAGGTCCTACACAAATCCCCGACGACCTACTGCTTTGCCCTTGGCGTTGCCCGTTCGGATTTCAGTGTGAGTAGCACCTGGTTTGAACAATCTCTTTTGACAATATTATTTGTGGAATCAATACAGTATAATTCAATAAAAATTAATTCTTAAAAAATATATAAATTTTAATCTGTTCTTTCTTTATAAAGACCCTGGTTATGGTGGGGCGAGGGCATTCCTCCCGAATAGATGATAATATGTATCGCTTTCCCACTTACTTTCATTGGCATCACGAAGCATTGATTGCATATAATTGACTCAACATAATCATAGAGTTAAGTGGACCAGTAATCACATTGTGAAGGAGAGTTACTCGTAGTAAAAGTCTTCTTAACTCCGCTCTTGACAGATTCCAGTGTATTCTGTGCTTTCTGAAGTTGTTTCATGCGAGTGCCTATGTCCTCAACCTCTACAGGTGCGTAAAGGGGTAACTTACCGCTACAATTTCGGCATGCAGGGGGTACCATTCCCTCGCCAGTTATCTTACGATCGTCGCAAAAAGGTGACAGCATTTTTGTACTGGTTTCACTCTGATCTGAAGAGAGCATTTTCTCTGGCTAAATCCGATTGCCTTGGATAGTCGAATTATACTGCTTAAAGCCATCACGTATCTTAGGGTTTTTATAGGGAACGGATCAACGCCAACCTTATCGCAAAGTTTGCTCTGTAAATGTTTAGAAATTAGATTTTCAGCAGGAGCAGACACGATGATGCTGATGAGGTCATAATGCTGCTTGTTTTGATGAAAAATTCGGGGTACAATTTGTTTTTAAATATTTCTTATATTTTTTAAATGCTGTTTGTTTTTACATTAATAGTTTTTATTATTTAGTTGTGCTAATTATATGTTTAACATAAAAATTGTTTTCCCTTCTTATATTTGTTTTGTTGTTGCTTCTCGATTTGATTGTGATATATTAAGTAATTTCTCACTTGATTTTAAGACTTTGCTGTTTTTTAATAAATTCGTAAAATTCGATGTGAATGTAATAAACAATTTTCTTGTATCGTATAAATAAATTCATATAAAAAAATGAATAAACATTTGCATCGCTAGTGCGGCATTATAAAGAAAGAGTGCTCAGATCCCTGGATCTCTGCTGTTCTGCAGCAAATGGGACTCGAAAGAATTAATGATCCATAAATTCCCCCAAGCGAACACCTTAATCTGCAGTTTGTTTTGTGGCTTAGTGTCTTACTTATTTATTGTACTTGTGTATTGTATAATTTAAGAGAGCTTTGTCTAAAAACAAATTTTGGCACATGGTTCCGAAAGGGGTGGTCTGATCTGTTCCTTATTTAATTCTGGCTGTTGATGTTGCTGTTGCTGTCGTGGTATATGGATTTTGTATGTATTCGTAGACTAGTTAAAATACAGCTATGTACTCGTATTATGTGGATTATTCGATACAAACTAAGAGTTATGTATATTAATTTGTAGTTTGTTTGTTTGCTCTTAGATTGGCGTTCTGCGCTGCTTCTGATTCTTGATTGAGTGTTTTGCAATATTTCAAAATTTGATTACGATTTTTTGTATTTGATTCTACTTTCCCTCCACATTCTTCTCTTCATTTTAAAAACATTTATCTACAACTCGACGAACGACAGTTTATTGTAATGGAAACACTAATGAGTGGATACTGCGATATTTTGTCATATTATATATGAATACTGCTTCAGCTGGCGACAATCGACATACATACATATGTACATATGTCTGTATGTATGTAAATATGTATACTTCGAGCTACTACATTTAGTTAACATGTTCATTGTGATTTTCTGTTGGTTTCTTTGGAGTAATGCATGCATCATTGTCAGTCCATTTACGTGGTTGCCTTTTTGTTATATACAAAATATATCAATATGTAGATTCGCTAACAACTAGATAGATCGATCCTTCGTTTTGTATATCTATATACATAAATGAGCATTACTTAGACACCCACACCACATACATTTATAATCGTAAATATACAAGACATATAAATTTGTACACAGCATAAATCTGAGTTATGTCCTAGATTCCTCGTTTTTTTTATCGTTTTGCTCGTAGCTCTACAAACTCAAACCTACAAAACCTACTTAGGAGTAGCAGCTATAGCCAAAGTATTTAGTACTACTCGTGTTAGTGAGTGAGTGGGGGAGATTCGCTCTCTACAATACGAGTCTACACACGATGAAAGACAGTTCCGGTACGAGAACAATTTGATACTCCACAATAAGTACCAACATAGTATTCGATAGTTTAGTTTCTTGCAGTTAGTAGTTTGAGTTATAGTCTCGAGTGATACACGCATTAGTTATTAATAGATAGGTATATGTATGTATGTATATGTACTTATAAAACTATGTTAGTATATGTATGTACAATGCACATACATACAACATTTGTGGAAGTTCAACAACTGACCTGGGTTCTGGACACATGCCAACATATACATAAACATATATGTATGTATGTACATATGTACGTACGGGCATGCACAAACGTTAATACTTACATAGAGTATTTGTGGTATTACGATTACGAGTACGAGTACGAGTATGACCTCTATTTACGGGGGAGGAGAGAGATTGCAATGGGATGTGTTTCTGAGTATTCTCGTTTTGGATGGGTGTGCAGAATTTTGATATTGATTGTCCGAAAGTTTTCACCGTGTCATTGTGTGACTGGGGGAGGTTTCGTGGGGTCTTGGATTGGCAAACTGGTTACGGGGTCAACAGGGTGGGGGGAGACTCAGGGTTCGGGGTGTTCAGGCTTCAGGGAGTTCAGGGTTAGTGGGCAAGGTAACAAATGTATTATAAAATGTACAAAAAACGGCCCGGCTGCGGAATGACTCACTTCCCTACTTTGCTTAAATTTGGTTTCTGTTGCCTCGGGGCAGGGCCTCATCCTATATATGCTGATCCTGCGATCAGATCTTGCCAATGTCTCAGACGGATATCGAGTAATCCGATTTTTCGCTAAGCAATTTCTGGCCTGGAGCGGGTGAATGCTGTTGTGGGCGTGGTTGTTGCAATGGCTGCTGTTGCTGTGGTTGCGGCGACTTGGAATGCGCCCTCTTGTGTGGTGGCTGCTGTTGCTGGCGCTGCTGCTGCTGCTGATGCTGGTGCTGTTGCTGCTGCTGTTGGTGCTCCTGCTGCAACTGGGACGTGGTGGAGGAGGGGCGCGACCAGAGCGAGGATCTCTGGCCGAGCTTTAGTTTCTTGATCGTGTCCACATCGCACTCCACTTCTGCCAGCTCGATTCGCTCGCCCAGCCCCTCCTCGGCGTGATGGAAGGCACCAGGGGTGCACTCCGCCTGCAGCTGGAGCGGATGCAGCGTTCGCAGGATGCCAGCCCTGCATGTGGAAGCATGTGAGAGCGTGTGGAAGGGGACAAGACAGACACAAGAGAGAGTCCAGAGTTGGTTCAAGAGTTGGTGCAAGAGCAACCACAGCTCAAGCTTTCAGTTAAGACTTAGTGGTTGTTGATGTTGTGGTGTTGGTGGTGGTGGTCTGTGTCTCGGCCAGATTAATGGGCTCCCTCGGGTCCACACACCTCACCGTAGGCCAAGTCTCATGTCTGATCTATGGGATCCATGTAGGTGCAGGAGATCTCTCCGCTGTCGTAGCCGAAGCCACCACCGCCTCCAACTCCCCCGCCACCTATTCCCATGGCCATGGCCTCCCTGCCAACATATTCACTCCCCCCATTGGCCGTATCCTATTTGGGCAGCGTGGGCGCTGTAAAGAACTTGGACGAGAGCAGGGCCGTCGAGGGGTTCAGGAGCGTGCCGCTCGTGGCGGCCACGCCCTGATGGTGATGGTGGTGCGGTGGCTCATGCGCGGTCATGATGGACTTGTGTGGTATGGGTCGGAACTGTGAGGATGGGGGCATGCAAGTCACAGGCACAACGGATGCTAGGGGACTACCGACAACGCCATCCAGACCCACCAGCTCCTGCCCATTCACATGCATCGACGACGATGGGACGGACTCGAGCTGGTGGAGTTTTGGCGTGATCAAGAGGGGCTGCTGTTGCTTCAAACTACTACTGGTCTGGTTGGGGTTATGGTTCTGGTTCTGATTGTGGGTTTGGCTATTTATCTGCTGTTTGTGGAACTGTTTCTGTTGCTGTGTGCTGATCGATGGCGATTTGACCAATGTGGGTATGTGGCATTGTATGGAGTCTTGTGATTTGAAGGTGCTCGATATGGATTTCAGATTGCCGCCAACGCCGCCAACGCCGCGTGGAGATAGAATTTTGCTCGAGTTTCCGGATGATGTGGCTGTATTTGTGGCAGTGGTGTTTGTGGTGTTGTTGTTGATTTTGTTGCTGTTGTGGTGGCGCGGTGTGGTGTTGGTGGAAAACTGATATTGCTGATGATGATACCTGGAGCGACCGCGACGTGGCAGTGACTTTTGCTCGGACATTGGCGACAGGTCGGAGGATGTGCTTGATTGTGCTCCATGGTAGATGATGCCTGCAAACACAACGATACGATGCACGATGCGGTTCGGTTCGGATCGGATCGGATCGGTTCGGAGCGAGAGGAAGAAAAGAACGGAGGAGAAAAAAAACGAAAATCGATATCGGGCAGATAGAGAGAGTTGTTTGGAAAGGGACGGCACGGCACGGCACGACACAAACAAACAACAAAAACTTATCGCTAACTTAGGTCTAGGCTTAGGGCTAACATAGTCTTGGTGTTGGTCTAATTCGGTTGGTGTTGATTTTGGTGCTGTGTCAGTGGATGTGGCATGTCTGCTGTACGACACACATACTACAGATAAGTTATCGAGATATTGTGATTTGGAAAGTGTTGAATTAGTCTAGAGTCTGCAAAAACAAAGCAACAAAAAAAGAGAGCAGAGCTGGCAGATTACATAATTTCAAAGCCTCCAACATTATGGGTACCCTGAGGGAGAAAACAGGAGCATACTCTCTACACATACTGAATATATTTATATATTTATGTATATGTATTGCAGTTGTGTTCTCTCCCGAAGTACAAATAAGAAAACCAACTAAAATGCTAGTTTAGATGATTTGAATGGAGAGAAGGTCCATTGCCACATCCCATTCAAACCCATCCAATCAGATAGAAATCAATAGAAAATAATTAAAGTAACCCTCACGACATGAACTTACTGTGCTTGATCTTGCCCTCGTGCTGGTTGGAGGACTCGGTGCGACTGGAGGTAAGCTGGTCCTGGTCCGACTCCGATTCCTCGCTCTCCGGCTCGGTCTTGCGCGAATGACGTCTACGGTTCTTGGACTGTACATGGAACAGAGCAAAGGGAATTAGTGGGGTCTGTCTGCGTCGGCCGGTGGCTGAAACTAGCGACTAAGGAAGCGCCTTGGGGATGGAGCGCCTCTCGAAACGAACAAAGGAGAACTGAAGATTGGCAGGTGACAATCACACGATGCAGGGGGCGAGCACTCGCCCCCTTCGTACTCATTGCTTACATTTATGGCATTGCAATTAAGGGATTTGCGGGAATATCGGGGATAAAACAAACAATAGTCGAGCATAACAACATAAAAAGCACGTTACATTATTACTGGGAAACCACTAAATGTCGAACCACTGACAGAGCCAGCGGCACGAGCACAAAGACAGAGAGAGAGACAGAGAGCTAAATCAAGGAAATGATTAAACAAACGCACGATATTATGAAACGGTGAGGTCTGATAATAATTATGAATTGTCTTTGGAGGACGTTGGTTGTGGTGGTGGTGGTGATGGGTGGTTGGTTTTAGTACCGCAGCTGGTGGTGGCGATGAACAGCCCTCGGCCAGAGCCCTCTCGTGGTACATGAACGAGTGCAGCAGCGTGTTGGCCGGTCCGCTGTGGTGCGGCTGGGACATGTTGCCCGCCTCCGACAACTGGAAGGTGGCATACGGCGAGATGTCCTCTGAGGTTTCTGCGAAATACACATGCCGATGGCAATAAGTGACAGCTGATTCCCCGATTGAGTAACAGGACTAGACACTGCATACCTGGAATCTTGTCATTGTTCTGCATGGAAACCTTGTGGATTGTGGCGTAGTAGCGCTCACGCTGCGCCGCCTCGGAATTGGCACGATTCTCCAGCGACTCCTTTTGTATGTGATTGCTTTGCTCTGCGGGCGACGGAGCAGGGGGCAGAACTGAGTCAATTAGGAGCGTCATCCTTCAACCGCCTCCTCCTCCATATACTTACTGTGTCTGTAGCAAATGATGACCATGGCGATGGTGCAGATCATGCCCGAGAGCGCCGCTATGCTGGGTATTAGCAGGTTGATGTTTCCATAGAAGACGGTCGGACCGCGCTGGCCCCTCTGCACGATCTCCGGCGGCGGTGGGTCGCCGTCCTTGGTCAGCGTCACGAACGAGAACTCTGCCTGCGAGGCTCCTGCCACGTTGTGCGCCTCCATTCGCATCTGATAGAGGGTCGACGGCTGCAGATTGGACACTGTCACACGTCGCTGCGGCTTCAAAGCATTAGACACTGGAAGAGGAGTGGAGATTACACATGAGTGTGATCCATGGATCAATCCATCAAGCTGTCTGCGCACTCACCTAGTACCCACTCCGTTTCGGGATCGTCAGTCACGGCGCGGTACTGCAGCACAAAGTACATCAGGGGGCAGCCATTGTCGGGCCACGTGTGGAGACGGATCAGCACCGACGTGGAGTTGGGGGCCAGCAGACTCGTGGAGGCGGGCATGCCCGGCGCCTGTCCCTGGGTGCGTACATGCAGCATGATGCTGGTGGGAGAGGTTCCCACTTTGTTCTGGGCACTCAGGTGAATCTGGTAGGTGCTGCCGCAGACCAATCCTTTGAGCTCGTGGCTAGAGGCGTGCCGCGAGAGCTGCATCTCGTCCGTGTTGCCCGAGCCGCGGCGGTAGAAGAGGGTGTAACCAGTGATGGGGGCGTTGCCGGTGAAGCCGCACTTCCAGTGCATTAGGATGCTGCTGGATGTGGCGCTGGTCACGTACAGGACCGGTGCGGAAGGTGGAACCTGCACCAGGAGCGTGTGGGTGAGGCGGTCCGTGCCAATGCCATTGTCCACCTGACAGCTGTAGTTGCCACTGTCGGCCAACTGGAGGTTGTTGATGATCAAGTCGCCCGAGTCAAGCAGCTGGGAGTTGTGGAGGCCGCCTTGGCGGAGGGGCACATCTGACTTGAACCACTCACGTTTGGGCTTGCCCACCGCCGTGCAGGGCAGCGTTACTGTGGCTCGCCAGGGCCGCACCGCTGGCCCTCCAAAGGAGATGATCCTTGCCGGCACCCGATTGGTGGTTATCTGAGAAACCACCCTTGAGCTCTTGCCCTCACCCACGCGGGTGCTGGCCGTCACCCAGAACTGGTACTCCATGTGGGGGTGCAGGCCCTTCGACTCGTAGAAGTGCTGCTGAGATGGCAGGCTCCGCTTCTCGTTGTTCAGCTCCTCCCGGCCATTGACCACGCGCGTGTATAGACTGTACTTGGTAATGACTCCATTGGGCTCGGTGGGTGGCAGCCAGGAGATGTAGAGCGATTGCGTGGAGCTCACCACCACCTTGATGTCTGCCGGGGCCTCGGGCACATCCTCCTCGCTGTGACAGAATAGGGCCTTGGACACGGACCCGTCGCCCATGCGTGTGTGGGCCAGCACCTGGATGCTGTAGTTCGTGTATTTTCGCAGACCAGTCAGCACCATTGTCAGGGCCGTTGTCTTGCGGGACTCCACCTCGTCCTTGCTGGGCAGAATGTCGTCCATGATGGGCTCGAAGACCAGTTTGTAGCCCTGCAGCAGTCCGTTCGTGTGATATATCGGAGGAGGCTGCCAAGAGACTTGCAGCGACTGTGAGGACAGGGCGGCACAGCGCACATCCTCCGGCGGACGACTGGGCACTAAAGCGGGGAAAGTTTTAGCATCTCTGAAAGAGTGAGGATACCAGAAAACTCACCATCCTCCATGGTCTGGGCTGCGCTTGGTTCGGAGAGGGGTCCGGGACCAACCTGATTGAAGGCCTGCACCACAACGTTATAGCGGGCGAACTTCGCCAGTCCGCTCAATAGAAGCTCCCCGCTGCTCCCATCGCCGTCGCCCGAAACTGAGGTGAAGTTGTAGGCCGTGTTCCCGGAACTGGCCAGCTTGTAGCCCACATTGTAGCCCTGGATGTCGCCGTGTCGGAGCTCTGGCAGTGGTGCCACCCAGCTGATCAGCAGCTCAGTGGAGGACAGGGGTCTGGCGGAGAGATTAAGGGGCGGGCCCGCTGGCCGTTGGGGCTCTGTGCGAACAATCAGCTCCTGGCTGGGTGCACTGCGTCCCGCATTGCCCTCGGCTATGACCCTGAAGGCGTACTTCGTGGCCGGCTTTAGGTTCTCTATCAAAGCGTTAAACGAGGGCGGATCCTTCACCTCCAGCTGTTGCCACTGTTCCACGAACAATGCTGCTGTCAGAAAAACTATACATCTTACAATCTTTGAAAGCAATCCACTTGGTCTCCACTTACGATCGGCCTCGCGGTACTCCACCAGGTACTTGGATACATCTCCCGTGCCCAGGGACTTAGGCTGCCACTTGAGGTTCACTGATCGACTGCTAATCATGGCCGCCTCCAATACACTAGGTGGCTGGGGTGGTTCCTGGACCTGCAGCTGCACCAGCTGCTGATCGTTACCGTACAGATTGCTGGCTCTGCAGAAATATGGCCCACTGTCCGTGGCATCCACTGTGCGTATTTGGAGCTCAGCCGAGACTCCGTCCGGAGTGGCTTCCTGCTTGACGGATATCCTGGAAGCAATTGCTTTACTTAGGCCCCTCCTTACCCTCTTTACGTTGCCTGCACTCACTTGTAGTTGGTCGACGGGTTGAGCGTGTTCTTCCCAGAGCGCATCCACACAATGTTAATCGGCTTGTCGCCGCTCACGGCGCACTGCAGCAGCGCCGTGTCGCCCTTCTTTACAGTGACAGAGCGGGACGTCGAGGAGAAGTACGGAGAGGCTGCACATTTAAGAGAAATATTTCGAAATTGAATCACACTGTGGAGGCAAACCTACCGAGGCGGTTGGTACTTACAGTTCACTTTTAGTTGGATCACCTTCCCGATGCCAGTGCCGATGCCATTGTTTGCTTGGCACAGATAGAATCCCTCCCGATCCTCCTTCACGTGCTGCAGCAGGAGCGAGCCGTTGGCCAAGAGCTTAGTAAAGGGACGCTCCCGAACCTCCTCGTATTCCCCGGATTTGCTGCCTACGAATGGGATGCAAATGGGTGAGCCTTGGACCTTTGGGTGGGTGGGATGTGGTCTCACCTGTGGCCTTTTTCCAGACAATGCTGGGAGTGGGAACTCCCTGGGCCTGGCAGTGCAGCATAATGTGACGATTACGCTCGACATTCGCATCCGCTGGCTCGACAATCCAGCGCGGCGGCACTATGGGGCGTATGTGTAATACAATATAATGGTTAATGGAGTTTAAAATTCGACCAATATTCAAACGAAAACTGCTAGGACATATAGAAGGAGTAAAGGTTCTTAGAGATAGATAGAGACAGAGACAGAATGAGAGAGATAGAGAGAGAGAGAGGGAGGAAAGGTGAAGAGTTCTGGCAAAGTAAAAACGAAAATAATTTTGGTTTACGTTCTTTTGGATTTCCTTGTGCCTAGCACAAATGTAAAAACTTGGTAGCATATAGTAGAGTAGAGTATGTAGTAGAGTAGGAGGAACTTTCAACTAATGTACAAAAGGATAGTTTGCTGGGGTAGTTTGCTTCAAAATCAAATACAAAATCAGTTTTCATATGCAACTTAGTCAAAAATCGAACAATCGAAAAATCGAAAAATCTAAAAATGATAGTAGTCGATGCTTTTGTTTGTTTGTTTGTTGTTCATTATTTAAGAGTATTTTATTGGGGACTTCCAAGGGGAATTTATTGACTGTGATTTGTTGGTGGTGTGCAAGGATTTTTATCTGAATTTTTTATTTTATTAACATTTAAGTCTTGTTATTTTCGCCCACGCTCTGTGCCTCGCTGTTCGTTATTTGTGGGACAACAAATTCGGAAAAACAGTTAAATGTATTCTGGGATATTTGGCTCATAAATTATAAAACAAAGGCATGCCAGAAATGGAAAATGGAAAATATATTTGCATGGAAATTATAGAATTTGCAACATAAATGGAACGTTATGTGGGGGGGGAATGGTGTTTATAGTTGGAACACTAAGCTAACAAAACTCAGGCGAAACACGAAAAAAGCGAAACAATAAAACTGAAACTCCAAATATAATCTATTCGATGGGACACGGCTCTGCCCAGTGAATTGTTTTTCAAAATGTTCCATAAATCATGAGGCCAATGAAAATGTTTACTTAGCAGCTGCATTTAATTGCCACGCTTTTGTTTGTGCAGCGGTAGCAAAATTAAAAATATTAATTAAAATGAAAGCCGGACCAGGATCAAACATAGCGCAATAAACTAAATTAACTGGAGGTTCACAGTCCAGCCTGGCATATATTTAATGAAAGGCATTTCTGGTCATTTAATTTATTTGTTTGTTTTTTTGCAGTTTTTTTTTTTTTTTGGCACGATACAAAGCGGGTTAGATATGATAATATATTTCAAATGCGTGGGAAAATCATTGCACACAACAACAACAGCCTGGGAATTCGAGCACGAGGCAAAAATTATAAAATAAATCGAATATTGGATTTGTCTTCGTCAAAATATACTTAAGGGCTCCCCGGAAAAGCGCTTTTCGGACCAATTTTGGGGTGTGGAAAGCACATAATCGGCAGACGGAAAACCAACTGAAAGCAGGGGCTTAAGAACGGAAAAGAGAGCAAGCAACTCATAGATAAATGGAAATAAAAATTCATTTTTTCACAGCAGCATGCGCATGCAATGCAGTCGTCAATCGTCATCCTATGTACAGTTTGCATGCGGAAACAAAAAGTGCACTAGCTACGGGGTGGGGTGGAACAAACGAAAACACTCATTCTAACTACATTAGCAAATACTGCGAAGCTTTAAATCTTATCTATTTATTTTGTTTTGTTTCATCTCGTTTTGTGGTTCTGGGGGGATCTTTTAGTATCAGCTGTATTAAAAGTATGTATGGATGGGCGGTGTTTTTTTTTTTTCTGCAACAAGATTATGTTTATTCTCTTTGGGTACAGTCACTTGCACTAGCACACACACATACACACACACTCGAAAGAGAGAGAGAGAGAGAGAGAGAGAGAGAGCGAGAGAGAGTTAGCAATTAGAGAGACCAAAGCCGAAAAGAAGCGTAAGCGCGTGTTTTGTGGCATCTTTGGGGGATTTGTAGCTCGTTCATTCTTTTGCAGCATTCGTTTTGTTTCACTCATTCGTTAATTAAGCATAGTACAGCACATCGAGGGATTTGGGGATGGGTGAAATGGGGAGCAAAAATGAGCAGCACAACTGGACATTTTTTCACTTCTACAGTATTTTCTAGATGCAACCGTAGCAGCAGTAGCAGAGACAGAGCGCAAGAGTTCGGCAGCGGCAGCAGCTTCAAAACATCAGCGACGGAGGCGAAGGCAAAAGGCGAATGCGGCAACCAAAAAAAGTGTATAAAGCGAATAAAGCGAATAAAGCAAATGAATCTTAAAGCAGCTTATGTTCCATATTTATGCACGAGTAGTTGTATAAATTATAAATTACAGCTCATCACGAATGCAGTGCGCTCTCCAAACTCCCACAAAGTCAATTTGAAAGGGGGTCTGGCTAGACTCCACAATTATTTTCGGGCGAGAGCTGGGATAGTGCACCTGTCACGGCTGTCGCTCAAGAAGCCGCTCAAATAATATTCAGCAAATTAAAAGATACATTATATAATACTGGATTAAGTGTGTGAGAATTGTATAAGGTTCTTTTTTGTTTTTGTTTTTTTTGTATTTTTGGTTACGAAGCGCATAAGAAGCAGTGCAGTAAAACGGTTTACCTGGTGAGAGACAGTTGTCAAAAAACCCACAGCGTGCCAAAGCGACTTAAGGGTGGATGGACTCTTATGTAGTATGTAGATTAGTTTTGATTTTGGGGTTTTTAAGCGGAAGGCAGGGCTTTCATTTATTTATTATCGGGGTTTCGGTAGTTTTTCTTTTGTGAGACTCAAAAAATCAAAGCACCTTCGGGCTCGCACTCGCACTCGGGCTAGAGCCAGAGCCTGTGCCTGAGCCAAAGCAAGGTAATGGGGCAGCGATCAACTGCTCCAAAAAGCTTATCAAGAGCTTAGTTTATTTAAAAATCAACCAAAAATTATACATATCAACAACGGAAAATAACCATTAAGAAGCTTTCTTGAATACATCAGCAGGAAAGCAAAAAGTTCTTGAGGGGCAAGTGAAGATCGCTTAGTTAATATTAGTGTATTTTGTGTGTATTGGGGTTGGGACAGTTGGTGTTCAGTGAGCAACCTTGTACGCTACCTTTGACCTGCAACAGAGCTGTGTACTTGATCTCGGCCGCCGGATTCTTGGCCACGCACGTGTACTCCCCGGAGTGCGTGGCCGACAGCGACGGAATGCTCAGAAGCGAGCTGTACTGATCTAGCATGGTCACATTGGCCCCCAGCAGATCGGGCAGTGGCTCGCCGTCCTTCAGCCAGATAAGCTTAAGGGGCGCGTCGCCCCGCGATACACCACAGACGGTGCGAGTGCGCATGCCCTCGGCAAGGCCCTCCTGGAAGGCGAAGGGTTCTATGCTCGGCGGCACTGCAAGAGGGAAAGATCATGCGAAACTGGTTAAGAATGGATCTGGATGAGGAGTCCATCACTTCTGAAGACTGCTGAAGACACTCTTGAACGGCTGAGGGCGGTCCATCCCCGATGATCAATGCGTTGATTCCCACGTTGAGAGCCGTTTGCTGTTTCGTTTTTTCGTTTTGTGTGGAAATGGTGAATGAATTGATTCTGTACAGCTAAACCTTCGCAGTTTTGTTAACACATTTTGATTGAAAACTCTACTAAATATGCCACGTATATTATCTCAGATATTTGTACAAACATTCCAAAATCGAAATATCATTTACAGAGGAGAGAGAGAGAGAGTAAGGAGGAATATGCATTGTAACTTGAAACGGGTGGTCTGCTCGTGTGTTTGTGATGAATCAAAGTGCATACGGAAATAACTCAACTACTTGCAACTAAACAGGATTACTGGTATACGGGATAACGGTAGACGGTGGACGGTTGCAGGCTCAGGCTGTGCTGAGAGTGCACCGCCGCCTCATGTGTTTACCATTGACCAGGAGGGCCTGAGAGTTCTCCACCTCGGCCGCCGAGTTCCGCACCACACAGGAGTAGTTGCCGGTGTGGTCGCTGCCCAGGTTCTCGATAACCAGGATGCTGTTGTACTGGTCCACCTGCTTCACGGACATGTGCTGCGTGGGATCGATGGGGCGCCCGTCCTTGCGCCAGTTGATGGTCAGCGGCAGGTCGCCCTTGACCACGGAGCACGTGAGCGAGGCTCGATCCCCCATATTCAGCTGCAGGATGTTCGTTTGGAAAGGACTAAGCTTCGGCGGCACTGCAAGGGATTTGGTCAAGCATTCAGTGAGCACAAACGGAAGCAGAAGGAGTCAAATCAGAGCTCATCACTCCATAGGGCCCAGGCTTGGGTCCAGGGAAAAAAGGTTAGGAATTATGAAAATTTAATCAGCGTCACGCTTCATTAGGACGCGAATTCATTAACATTAACTCTGATGAAAAAAGGGACGGATACGGCTCTCCGAAACGTCTCCCTCTGCTTCGTTTTTAATTTACAAACTTTTAAGCTTAGATTATTGCGCATACTTAATTACATGGGGTGCAAAAAGTATACACACACCAGCACCCCACAGAAGACCGAAACAAAACAAAATTAAGCAGAACCAGAAAAAACCCGAATGGAAAAGGGTTGGCGAAAGGAAAGCCTGAAGCGCCATAGGAAACTACTTAGTTTGCTGTTAATAATTAAAATGCAATTTTCACTTCGTTTCGTTTGGTTTTGCTTTGGCTTGGTTGCCCGCCATCAGAAGATGTCATCGCTGTGAACAGAGCTGTGAAAAAGAAATCAACCTCGACCCGATCTCGGGTCTTATTCTCTGTGTTCTCGTTAGGGAAACACAGGGCTATGTGCCCTGGACGAGTGTGTACTAACCTATGACCGTCACCTCGCCGCTGCGCCGGGCACTGTGGCCCTGCTTGTTCCGGGCCCAGCACGTGTACACTCCAGAGTCGGAGTTCTTCTGCACGGGGCTGATAGTCAGTGAGCCGTCCGGCTGCACACGCTGCCGTATGTCGTCGGGCAGCTCCCGGCCGCCGCGCTCCCAGTGGATCTCCTCGATTGGATACCCAGCCACGGGGCACTTCAGATTCAATGTTTCGCCCGAGACGGCCGTCACCTTTGGAATCAGGCGAATGTACGGTAGACCTGTGACATATATGTAGAAAGAGAGCGAGGACAAAATATAGAGGAAATGGGATGGAATGCAAATGCTTAACAGATTTGAGCGCACGTTGTTTTTTTAATAATGCAGTAAGCAACTACAACTACAGCTTCAACTACAACTGCATTTAGGAAACAACAATGAGCAGGGAGTCGGAGTCGGAGCAACAATGTAATATGCATTATCCTGCATTCCTGCCTGCCCATCCCCTATGCCAAAACACTTTCGGGAAACGTGGAAGGAAATAATGCAGTAAATGTCGGACCTGGCGGCTGTCGAGGGAGTCGGAGTTGGAGTGGTAAAGGGATTGTGGTTCTGGATTCCTTGTGGGTTCTTTATTTTTTTCTGCAGAACATGCATAATTTTCGAGCATGTCATACGTTAGTCCCAGTGTTCCTGTTCCTGTCCCTGTCCCTGTCCCTGTCCGTGCCCATGCTTATGCTCATGTATGCAGATGTGCAGTGCACGGCAGAAGGAGATTTTTGTAATCACCGCCATTACCATGTCGCGCAATCAGCGACATCGCCTGGCTTTAAACTAAATGACGATGGTGGAAGTGGGATTTAATGCCTCTTTCAGGTGCAAAACAATGTTTGAAGGGTATGCGAAAATTTGTATCAGGCTTGCAAGTATGAGAATGCAGGACATTCCGTTTGATTATTTGACTCAAACATTTCTTTTTTGAGTCTTTTCTCAAATATTACAGTCGGCAGAGCCTCGTAAGATTATTGTAATCCTTTTGTTTTTTCTTTCGTCGTTGAGGTGCCATTACAGGTTATTATGTAGCAAGGATTTACTCCACTCCGCCAAAGTTTGTAAGATAATTTTTACTGAAGAGCATTCAGAATTCGCTGCTGTCTTCTTCAGGAGCTTTCTTGACTTTATTTTTTAACTTTTCCACTGCAAAACTTTGTAAACATGGCGCAGTTTTTGCCGCTCCTGTCGTTTTGTGTTTGTGCTCCTCCGCTCCCCGTCTCCGCTCGCACTCGCTCGTGCCTGGCAACGCCATTTTGTTTGCCTGGCGACACAAAAATATTTGATTTCTTGCAAAAACAAGGCAGATGGTGTGCGGGCAGTGCCCATGCACTGCACCCGAAAGCCGAAAGCGGAAAGCGGAGAGAGCGGATAGAGAGAAAAGAGCCATGTTCAACAAAACTGTGCGCCTCGAACAACACTTCACTGCTGCAAAGGCACAAAAGCAAAGATTGGGGGGGCGCTAGGTGGTGAAGGATGATTCTGGGGAAACGTAGGACATGGCAAACGTGCTGTAAAACAAAATCAAGCAAATGTAGGCGAATGCCAGAGAGAAAAGGAGAGCTGGACCCCAGCAGGGAAAACATTGAAGTGCATGTGTAAAGTAGCTGGCCTTGTTTGAAATGCATATAAGAGAAATGCTTGTAGAAATTCCACTAAAAAGTGATGCTTGAATGTCGCAGGAAGTCCACTCGACTTGGATGAGGTATGACCAGGCCAGCCCAATTTTGAATATGTTATAGAACTATTAAGTTTTGTTAAGTTTTTTATAACATCAATTTACTCTTGCCGAGTGATTAATTGCGGCTTCATAAACTGTGTACTTTGATTTTTTCGTAGGCAGAAAGAGATACGCCATCAAGAAGAGTGAAATCTACCGCTAACCAGACATGTATGCAAAAATATAGAGAGCCTTAAGTGAGAGTACAACATACCATATATATTCAGTCGGGCCGCATGCTGCACTCGGCCCGCACGGTTCTCGGCTATGCACGCGTACTCGCCACCATCCTCGACCATGACGTGGCTTATGTTAACATGACTAATTACATCGCCATGCACTGTGATGTATTGTCCGATCATAAATCTGCAACGACAAAAAAAGTGGGGAAACAAAGGCGAGAGAACACATTAATATGGCGTGATTTCAGCGGGCGTACGTGGCGCTAGTGCAGTGTGCGGGTTTTTAGAATTGTTTTCGTGTTGTTCTGCATATTTAAGCGAGCTGGTTTACTTTCACACCCCTTGCGGCTCTTGTTGCTGTGGCCCATGCCACACTGCACCGCACCACTCGTCATCCTCAGGCCCGGGCACATTTGAAATGCAGCCTGACCCAAATCCTTCGTTCGTAGGCATCATTTTGTTTTCGTCGCTATGTTCGGGCCGTAGTGAAGGCTGTCAGGTTGTCAGTCTGTCAGGAGCTGGCCCCGCAGTCGGAGCTTAGCATAGTTGCTATATTGCTGCCAATGTCATGTGCCACACCCATACACACACCGACTCCTATTCTCCACTTAATGCGGCCGTTACGCTTCAACAAAAATAATGAGAAGAAAAAGGATTTCGTGAGACTCCCAAGTTGGCATTAAGTTCTGCTCACTTGCTCGCTCGCTGGTTTGTTTGCCTGGCTCCCGTTTTACTGTTTGCACTGTTTACTGTCTGCCTGCTCTTCGTATTGGCACAGACATTAATTACAGCCAACATTGTTACGCATACGCCATGTGGCATTCGAACAAACGGCTCCCGTGGCGTCTTGTGTGGGCTTCGAATCTAAGCCACCCCGAGGCTCATTAGTTTGCGGCTCAGCGGCAACTTTTCAATTGGCATTACGGTTGGAGTTAGAGTAGCAACTACTCGTATTATACAACTCGCAGCAGCGGAGGGAAAGTAATTACAATTTTAATTAACTTTTTCAGGCTGTGGTGGGGCTTATGAATGCATAAGCCTCGCCAGCGTGCAGCTCGTCGCTTCGATATCGCTTCCAGAAGGCGGCCAAGTCAAACCGAAAAATCTTTTGCAGTTTTATGGAGTGGAGTGGCCAGGCTTGTAAAAACAGCCAAAACTGAAACTGTAGTTAACTGAAAATGAAGCTGTGGCACAGACAGAGAGCGGGACTGCTGCAGCACTTGAGCGCACTGAAACAATGGCGGGGACAAAATTGCAACAAAGTTGCACACATCCGCATCCGCAAGAGAGGGCGAGTTGGAGGGTTCTCACCCTCCAACGGCTTAAACGGCATTGCACAAGTTTAAATGTGTGTGTTCTTGTGTTTTTGTGTGTGTGTGTGTGGTACATAAAACGCTTTGGCTGCAACAATATAAACCTAATAGCTTGGCGAGGCTTTTGTGTGCTGTTTTAGCCTGATTGTTGTGTGAGTCCTTCCCGGTCGTCCTTCCCTCCGCCCATTCGCCCGCCTCTATAGGTGGCTTAATGCCAACCAACTAAAAAGAGAAACAAGGACAAGAATCCCTGGTGCGACTTGGTGGAGACGAGGTGAAAGGTTTTTGCTGGCAAAGTTTCCGAAATTATGAATTTCAATTTACGCGAATGGAGTTTAAACTTGGCCCGGTGAAAAAAGTGTCTGTTCCTGGGCTGGATTTCGACGGTGGTTGGTAAAGGATCCCAATCACTCGAGTTTGCAGGCACAGATTAGGGCATCCTCTATCCTCTGCGAGCATGGAATCGTGTTACGTACAGTGTCTGCTTAAGAGTCTTCTCACTTCGCCCGAAATTACACACAACATTTTCATAGCGCCTGCAGTGGCAGACTAACGCATCACATCACGCACACACGCCTCCATCTTGGAAGCCCCAACGCCCGAAACGGAAGGAAGGAAAGGGCAGCCACCGCCGCAGACAAACTTTTGAAAATGGCGTAAAATGAGCGTTTGAGTGCTGAGTTACCTCGTGCGCGCAATCATTTAATTTCCGCCCAAAGCTCTTCGTCTGGCTCCTCGCAGAGCCTCTCCAACCGTCCTGCCTGCTGCCTGCCTGCCTGTCTGCCTGCCACTGCGATTGCCTTCTGGTGGTGGGTCTGCGAATGTGTACGTCTGAACGTGGGTGTGTGTCTGCATTAAATAAATACACTTACCAAGTTGATATACCTTTAAACCGAATAATGTAACCCACTTAAAACTCGGCAATAACAACGCAAACGAAAAGCAACACAAATTTATGCAGCATTTCGGAGCAGGCAAATTAGGTTGCCAGGCTCGGTAGGATAATGCCTCCTTCAGGCACTGTGTGTCAAAATTGTGTCGCTCAAATAACTTTTAAATTAAAGCCATCGGCGTCAACTCTGCAAAGCTGTATCCCCTCCCACCCACTCCGAAAGCAAATTTTCACACCGACCACAGCACACAAATTTTTGTAATCAATTTTGCCTTGTGGTCAAGCCGTCCTCCGGCACCAACTCTGCCGGATACCAGCCATCCTAAGCTTCCATCCAGCCAGAAGGCCAAGAACAGAGCGCCTCTTGAGTGAAGAAAATTCATGACAAGAGCTTTAAGATGCAGTCTTAAGTGTTTTACATGTATAATTTTTGGAATGCTTTTTATGAGGTCTTAGATTAAAGGATTGAAGACCTGCATAACTATCCTTGTGGGACTTTTAGACTGTGATTGAGCACTGACAGACAATATATTCATGAAAGCTGTGGAATATGCATTCATATTGTAGCCAGACTAAAGAACTCTTGCAGTGACAGTCTTTTTCCAGCACATGCACCAGCGATTTGCAAATAATAATATGTTTCAAGAGGGACCCTAGAATTTTCTCGGAGTCCCTCGCGGCACATTGAAATATGATCGTTTATGCCCGAACGTGATCGATTTCCACCAGAGTGTTTCTCAGATGACTCTCGTCCCACACAGCCACGCTATCCATTATGCCAGCAGAGGGATGGCACTCTCGATAATGGCTCCTGCCCTCGACATATTGCATAAGTTTTAATTAAAATACTGTGCAGACGGGCGACGCAGGACAACAATCAGGGCACGACTGCCATCCCTTTTAGCTTTTGGTTTGGTTTCGGATCGCATCACTAAGCTAGAGCCAAAATCAGTGGCAAATGCAAATACAAATCTGTTGGGGATGCGGGCAGTGCCAACTACTGCTACTGCCACTGCCACCGCCATGGCTCCTGCTTCTGGCGGAACGAGTATTTTTTAATCAACAACAGAAGTCAACAGTTGCCGAGTCAAAACTTTGACTTGCAAATCATTACAGACGTAACTCAAACAATTAGTGGCAGCTGCCAACAAACTGCAAATGAAGTACTGTTCCGGCTACAGTTTGCCGCAAAATAAAAAAAAAAAAAACAGAGTGAGAAAAAGAGATAAAAACCCAATGAAATGCCGATGACAATGTCGGAGAGACCGAATTGGCAATCAATCGATTCGATGTTGAGTTTCACTGATATTTGAGTGTTCCCTAAGCAACAAAACTATTCCGAATTTTTCGAATTCGAGTTGGAATTGATTCGCTTCTGCCCCTATACGATCCCGTCGACTACAGTCGATATGACTCAAATGTCAATGTCATTAGGTCTCACTTAGAGGATTTAATAAAATTGGCAAACGTCCAAATAAAAATGCAATTAAATGCGTATGCTATAGCCAGCTCAATTGGAATCAAAGGCAGACCAGGACTCTCTCTGCCAGGGCTTAATTAACAAATAGAAAGCCTGGCCAAAACCTTGGGCCAGACACAGACACAGTCGCACAGTGGCAGTGGCAGTCCCGAGGTCCCACCAGAAGTGAATGAACGCTGAAGCAGACGAGGACGACGACGACGACGACGACGACGTCACACAACTTCCAGCCACCCACCCACCTTTGTAGGCACGGCAGTAGGCAGCCAGTTTCTATGTATGTATGTGTCTTTTTTTATTTAAAATATGTATGTGTGTGTTTTGAAAGGAAAATGCAAAAAAGAAATGGGGGAAATTCAGAAAATACACACAACGAGTGCAATAAATGCAACCGCAGCCACAGCCGCAGCCGCAGCCGCAGTAGGGAGCCGCAGTTGAGATACATTTTTTTTTTCAGAGAATGCCCGCAGCGCTGCCATTGCCAAGCCCCTTTTATCCCCCCACAGATCCGTCAGAGCCCCTCCCCCGCATCTAGTTTTCAACAAGTTCAATTACCTTCCGTTTGATGGCAGCGGAAATCCGTCCAGTGTCCAGGAAATTTGCGGAGTGGGATTGCCGGCAGCGGAGCACTTTAGGCTCACAGCTGGTCCCGGCTGCAAGGTCTGCTCGATGAAGCTGTACAGGAGCACGGGCGGGGCATCTGTAAGGAGGGGGAATCACATTTATATTGCAGCCATAAGCTAGTCCTCGGATAGTAAGAGTCAGTTTTTCCGACGAGACTTACCCCCCAGCTGCAACTCGGCGGTGGCCTGGAATGTATCGCCCTCGGGTCGTCGCACCACACACTGGTACATGCCCCGATTTTCGCGGCTCACGCGTGACACCATCAGCGTATCCTCGACGCGGCCCGATGAAGGTAGCTGGCGCCCGTCCTTGTACCATAGGATATTCTGCATGCCCACGGGGCTGCCGTTGCTGGTCACCAGGCATCGGAACTCGGCTGTGCCCCCCATGTGCACGCTGAGCACATTCGGCGAGATCTCCACTTGAATGGGCGTGGCCACGGTGAGGCGAAGCTCCGCACTGGCCTCACCGCCCACATTGCTGGCCGTGCACTTGTACACGCCGGAGTCCTCTCCCGTGACGGCCTCAATGGCCAGGATGGGGCCGAGCAGTCGCACCCGGGGCCCACTCAGGACGGGTAGTGGTCCGGCTCCATTGTGGGTATACCAGCTGTGGGATAGAGGAAGAAATTGAAAAGATTTATTCGGTTCAACTATTATAAATGGTTTCCATTAATCGCTGTTTTCAATTGGGAAACCAACAAAATGACTGAAACGAAAGATGCGGTGAAAAAGTAAACGTTGCAATCCTTTCGGCAATCCTTGCACGGCATTGGCTAACTAATGCACATACTGGAAGTGCTTTTAAATAAATGGTAATGGAAATAGCCTCTTTTATAGCATACTTTTCCTCACTGACTTTAATTAATGGAACACCGTTTCGGACTGGCATTTGGAGTTAATTTGTCATGGCTTTTGCTGAAAATTTTTCAACCGAGACTAAGGTTTGAAGTTCAAGGACTTGGGGACTACATTTATGCTCTTCCACAGCTTTTTTAGCATTCACCTCTTTTGTCTAATGTTGCATTAATCGCGTGCTGGCTCATTATTCCCACGCTACTCTTTCCTTTATGTTCTATTAATTATGAAATGACTGCAACTTTGTATCCTCGCACTGCAGTCTATCTATATACATATATCCATCCATCCATCCATCTATCCTGCTGACGTTGTCTGGTCTCGCTTATAGATTCTTTTGTTTCCAGCCGTCAGTCTGACATTGCCCCTCATCCATCTATGTATTTGTGTGAGTCCTCGTACTCCTCTCCAACAGTTTCTACTTTGTTTTACTTGTCTGCTTATCAAAGCGTAATTATGGCTGTGCATTCGCTGGTTTGTCCGCTATTCTGTCCGCCCATCGTACGTTCTCTCATCTGTCCGTTATTACTGCAGATTTACGACTGTGCACACATAGTTACCTATGCCATTGTTGTTGATGTCTGGGCTCAACGTGTCATATACGCAAAACATATACATTTTATATCATACATATTTACGTTCCATCATCAGTTGAGAGAGTTAGTTAACGCTTTTAGCTCACATTTCAATTAGGGCCCTCTCTTTAGACATATTATATGCACTCTTGTTCGTGGAAAACAGCTATCCTACCATCTACTTTTCCCCCCGATAAAAACCAGTCTTCATTTGCTTGGCCGCATACTAAATGCCCTGCCCGCACATTTTATAGATGTATGTGATGCAATTAACGCACACAAGTAGCTGACACTAATAACTAATAGCAGTGTATGTGTGTATGTGCTACAGCCAACGGCAAAGTCAAAGCTGTAGCCGTAGCCTCTCAACGTCAAAAGTTTCACCAGAAATGTGTGCTAAAGCCTTCGTTGAGCGGTGTGTCGTTTGGTCGACTTTGTGTGTGTGTGTCCCATCGATTTCTGCCACCATACACACCTGTATTCGGGAGAAGGACATCCCTGAGCGACGCACAGCAGCACTGCGCCCTCGTCCTGCGACACCTGCACATGAGCCGTGTGCTCCACCACACTCGGCGAAATGATGCCGCGATGAGCTGCGGCGGTAGAGATGATGAAGAGATATGACATTGGTTAGGTATACGAGTAGAAGCTGGGTGGCCACGATATGTGCCGTGATAGTGTGCCTTCGGCTTTTCCGCGGTTCGGTTAGGGGCCCCGAGATGTGCCGGTGCAGGTATACTCACAATTAATACGTAATCGTGTGGGTGAGCTGACGACAACCTGGCGGGTCAGGCGATGCATGCTACGACAGCGGAAGGACTGCGATTCATCGGTCTCCTGTAGATTGTGAATGAGCAGCTCGCCAGTGGGCAGCAAATGGAATTTTCCGTCTGTGGAAAGTTAAGACTTAATTATTGTGCGAATCTCTACTGGATGTCCAAAATCAGTCCGAACTTCAACTATATCCCCTAAACACTCGACCCTTTACCGAATACTTAAGGTATCCTTGAAGGTTAGACAGAAAGCAGTTTTAAAAGGGGAGATTTCCAAGCAAAGAAAGAGTGGATTAAGGCAGGCCAAAAGCTCTTCTCAAATTGCTAAAGGACAATGTTAATTATGCGCCAAAGAACGGGAGAGTGTGGGGGCCAGCAGGTGTAGATGGTTGTGGCAGTTCAGCAGGCAAACATGTGAGGCAAATACTGCAAACAAACAATGCACTTTGTTGGCTTGGGAAGCCGCTGCCACACAGCGACAAGGATGCAGACTCGAGGCGGCTCTAGTCGAGTCGAGTCGAATTGAGCCCCGTTCCGTGTCGTTTTGGTCCGCCTAGTCAGCAGTCAGTAGACAGTAGTCACTGCAGCCAGTGGCAGGGACGCACACGAAGCAGACAGAGAGGAGATGATGCCTCATCCTACCAGGTTACTTACCGCCTTGCAACGAGGGATAGATGTAGATAGCCGGTTCATGAACCCAAGAGACCACTCGTACCAATTCCTTGACAAACGTGGGCACCACACAACGCAAAATGGCGGTGCAACCCCGCGACGCAGATAGGACCTCCACATCCACTTTATAGGCCTGTGCCACGACTGCGGAGCACATGAAAAATACGAGAATATTTAATTTGACTTGGCCATGCCACGGCCCCATAACGCATTTAGCAGCCCGCATCTTACATCCCACTTACCAGCCCTCACTTGCACATCCCGGGACACAATGCGCCCCACGGAGTTGCTGGCGATGCAGCGGTAGATCGTATTGTGTATGTCCTGATGATACGCAGCCGCCGCAAAGGGCATCAGGACCAGGGTGCCGTTTCGTAGGACACGTCGCACGCCGTGGATCTCGGTAACGGCGGTGCCGTCCGCGTGCACCCAATCGATGGTGGGCTGCGGACTCCCCGAGGCGGAGCAGTCGAGCCAACCGCCCGAGGAGTTCGAGAACTCCACTCGCCCCGGCGGCTCCATTACGAATCCAGGACCACGAAGATGTGTCTCAAACGGTTCACTGTAGGTGGCATCTGCAAGATGTAGATATTATTTATGAAAATGAGTTTAGAATTAGGACTGAAAAAATTCACAAAATTATGGAATATATATTCCGGATATTGTGTGGATCTAAGTTAATTAGTTATGATATATACATATGCCTACACTTCATTATTTAATTTTCAGTTAGTGCATTATGACATTTACTATACTTTGAGAGTATTTTACTTGTCTTGAAACTTTTCTTCAGTTTATTTACATTACTCGTTAAACTAACAAAATATTCAGTGACGAAAATCCACAAAGCTATTTTCGTTTTAGTTATATAATGAGTGTGTGCACTGGGGATTAAGTGGGATATCAATCAGCACAGATCTGAGGATCTACTAAGAGGAAGTTTATCATATATTTCAAGCACATATAAATACATTTATTCCATAACTGTGATTTGCTTAAAATTCAGGAGAAAGGCATGAAAACATTTATTGCTACTCATATTAATGTCAGCTTCCATAAAAAATTCAATAATCCGTAAAGAGTGATATTGAAAATGCATAAAAGCTCAAAGTCCTCTGGGGTAAGTTGTGGGTGTGTCCTTTTAACCTTTTTGCTCTTTAATAAGCAAGTCGATTTCGAGGATACCCAAATAGCAAGGCATTGTTGCTTTTGAAAACCATTTCCATTTCATCCTTTCTTGTTCGAGAAAAAACAGATTTTGCCTTATCTTAAATTAGAATAACAATTTCGTCTTTAGCCTGGGACTTGGTCTTCCAGTTACCACTCCCTCCTTCCCATTGTGGAGTTTTAGAACCAAGTACGAGTACATACATAAATACATATGTACATACATATATATCTGTAAATGTATGTATATGTTTCTCAAATTGACATTTCGCTTCATATTCCACATGAATGCGCCTCGGCTGTCTCTCGTCTGCCCCTGCGGCGCTGTACAAATCCTTGCAACTCGTTCAATCTTCAACCACCTTCCCCCTCTGGCATTCTTCCCCTTGCCCACGAGTCATTGTGTCTGCAATTAGAGTTGTTTTTTGTTGTTTTTTTCTCTTTCTTTTCCATTTTTTCCGAGTTTTTGTTGTTTTTTTTTTTTGCCTTTTGTACGGGTTTTTGTTGTGCCTGGCTAGGCGCTTTTTGTTTTATGCTCGACAGCATGGATTTTTATGTAACTGCTTTCTGGTTTCCTCACAGGCTCCGTCTCCTCCTCGTTCCACGTCCAGAATTTTCCCCGCTGATTTCATGGCTACCATATCCCGCTCCTACCAAGATTCCTACTTCAGCAGGCGAGCAGCTCAGCCGCAGCTCCCGAGCAAGGGTCCTGGACGCGGATGAAGATGAGGCCTCTGCCAGGCCATAAACTTATTGCAAGTATGTCTTGAGTATGCCCAGCACTCGTCTCTCATGGTAGAAAGGGTATGTTTTACGAGCATGTGCCTTACAGCAAGTTCTCATGTGTGTGCGTGGGTCTGGTACTGGGTGGTTGGGTTGCTTGAGCTGTTAGGTGGGTGCATGTACATACATATATCCACTTGTAGGGTTTTTTATTCTTTCCTGCGAAAACAAAAAGTCCACACTCTCCTTGTTTCTGTGCGTGTCTTCCGCTCTTCATTTTATGTATGTGTTTGTGTGGGTGTGTTTGTATGTGTGGGCTTTGTCCCAATGCAGATGCCTTTCCTTTGGGCCGTTCGACTTGGTATTCGGCCTTCGCCAATGGCTCCAATGGCGAATTGTAAATTCACTAAACTCCTGCGCTGTATCCGCTTGGTAGAGTATTTAGATATTTCGACAAACCATTCGTTATTCAATAAGATCGAATACATCTCGAATGCTGCTCCAAACATCCCTCGATATTGCATTCAGTAACTGTTTTCTTAAGGTTTCCTTTCCTATTAAAACATATGAAAATTTGCACCTCAACTCGTTAAGTCAACAATTTCGTTTTACAGCCTTCGTTTCGTTTCGGCCAGTGGAAAAGCGCATTAAAATTGTCTCCATTCGAGTCAAATTTCCTTTCCAAATGGTTTTCTCCAGTTCCCTGCGTTTGTACTTGCCACTGGCATTGCAACGGGATGCATCCCCGCATCGGTCTGTCTGCCCCTCGGCTTTGGCTCCCATTTCCGCTCGTTTTGTGTCGAGCATTTCCGCGCCGCACTCCCCCGTTCCACTGCCTCACTACCATTCCCATTCCCAAGCGAATATGCTCTTCTCCGTCCACTTGTGCGAGTCTTGAGGGGTTACGTTGCCGAGCTTCTCAGACATTATTTCTGTGTTCAGCTTTCTTTTCACTCGCTTTTTCTCTCTGTTTGGATTATGCCCTTTTGGCACTTTTCAAAATTATTTCGTGCTCAGATGTGCTTACAGATGTATGTACATATGTGTGATGCAAGCAGTAGACTGCACTGGTTGTTCCAGCCACAGACTGCCGAGGTAATAATTCTAATGGTGCACGATCTGGGCACAAGTTTTGTCTGCCTGCCGCCAGATCCCCAAGAGATGGACTCAAAGGGGCTTTAAGTAACCACCGATATTCCTGGGCGAACGCAATCAGCTCGAAAAATAGAAGACATTCAATTTTATGCGCAAAAACAGGCATGGAGGCGTGACCCGAACACCCAAAAGATATCGACTGACGCTCAATATTGCTTGGGAAACGGGAAAAAGAAAACGGAAAAATAAAAAATTGAAATAAGTTAAGAAGCTTACAGACCAGTGCGAAAACCCACAGAAGAAAATACTAAAACAACAACCAGTCATTAATAATAAGTAGTTGAGAATATCTTCATTTTGTTGATAATTTTTGGGGAGACTTTTGGGAAGCCGACAAAATCTTTTATTTGGCAGAATATATACGGGCCGCCAAGAGTCCATGACAGTCTGAGTGCTGCTTTCCAACAAATACTCCATTTAACAGAATTTAAACTTTTATAATTACTAATAAATGCAAGCGCATCCGCTGGAAGAGCTGCCATCTGGCACGTACATATTTTACTAAAACTTTTCCTTCGCACTTCATTAATCCTCTAGCAAATTAAAGCGTTTGTCACAAAAGGTTAAAAAGACAATCAATCAAAGAGCTCACAAACACGAACAAACTTCTCCATAATTGTTCATAATTTTTTCCATCACAATGGCGACTCTTTCCCTATGTAGAGTGCCATATAAATTCCGTCTAATCGGATTTGCGACGATGCTGTTGCTGCTCCTGCTGATTTGATATAACGTATTATATTTTTTATGTATCTGCATGGAAATTAAATAACAACACCGAGAAACGTGAGCCATCTCTCACTCTGATACTGGGACGCGGACGAGGACGAGGATTGTTGCCCCCAGAGCAAAGTGTGTGAGCGGTTAGACATTGAGCAACAATTTCATTTGCATATTTTTCATTTGCTTCCAAAGCTTCGTGTACCAGCGAGGCTGCACATATACCGATACGAAAACAAGAATACATACAAACTTACATATATGGGAAACATGACATATCTGTGTGGCATTTTAATAATTTTTTTGGATAAAATATTCGAGCTTTGTAACCCATCCACCGAATGCCGGAGCTAGGCAATGAAATTGGAAAATATGAAAAGGTCGATGGGTCGATCGAATGCTCTGCTCCTGACACATTTCATTAGGCAGCCCGACACTAACACACATGCCGAGGCACACAATGGGATACTACTGGAATGACGGAGAGGTTGGAAGGGCTGTTTTCTTGGAGCATAAATTGACGCCTGGTTTTTATCATCGGGCAATTTTATACGAGTATTATGTAGTTAGTTTTGCTGTCACATTTATGGCCCGTCCACAAAGCGGCCAAGTCATTTACACTTAGTTCGTATCATAAATAACGTAGCCGAGCCTCCTTCTCACCACTCACCAAGTCTTCACTCATGTGAACCACCATCAATTCAGGTCTCTATGTGGTACTAAAGATTGCGTCTTGAAGAATAATAAAGTGAGTTATTGCTCCGTTCATAATTTCCGCCAAAAGTTTGACTCCTCCCCCATCGGGCGCCTAATGCCGCCACAAAGCCCTGTAGAAATTCCCGCCCAAATCCCCCAAATCCTTTTGTTTTATTTTCACGAAAAGGCGTAAAACCGAGAACCAAAAAATATGCCGACAGCTGTTGGGACTTGTTACAAAAACACACTACAAAAACAAACGGGTATAACTTAGAGGTGCGTGCCGTGCGGCTTAGGCGGGATACCTGGCCTAAGGGAAAGGGACCGGGACAGCCTGGGCTTTAGAGTGTGGCAAGAGATTGGTTGAGGGACTCCGAATGTGGCACCTACCATGATGGAGCAGCAAACAAATCACGAATAGGCGGCTACTAATCCACATTATTTCCGGATTCTGTTTTGATTTTGGTTTCTATGTTTGGTTTTGATTCTCTCTCTCTCTCTCTCTCTCTCTCTCTCTCTCTCTCTCTCTGGTGCAGGTTTCTGACGATTTCCCTCGCGAGGCAATGAATTTTGTTATTTGGCTTTGGGCTTTACTTTGCAGCAGGTTTACATTTCAGACACTTGACTCCTTGGTCTTCTTTGGCACAACTTTTAAATCTTTTTATTTTTTTTTGAATATGTCGGGTGATGATGATTTGGTGATTTTTTATGTTTTGGAGGATTGCATGGCCGGGACCTTCACTCACTTCACTGCCGGCACAAACTCTATTCGGAGCAAAACATACACGTATAACATAGAGCTCTCCCGTCCAGACAACCTACTGCCAGCAAGAACTCAACTTGACTGCGATGCTTGGACTTTTGAATGAATGCCACCGTGTGGCACGGCACTCTCTTAGTCTAGGGACGGCCCGGCTCTCTTCCGGAGGCTCTCTTCTGAATAAATTCACCTCACTCACGGAACCATTCGTACTCGCACTTCGATATTTCACTTCGCACTCAGTCTCCGTCTTTTTCCGCTTCGTTCGCTTCGAGTTGCATTTCCCCTTTCTGCATCCGCGAGAGCCGTGCGTATCCTTCGAGCCTCGAACAGCAACTGCCGAATGCCAACTCCGATTCCGTTGAGTTGGCTCAGTGGTGGCTCTACGTCGGCGGTGCAAGTGCCAGCTCGACGCATGCGCCCCCCGCCAATTGTTGTCTGAGGTTAGGCAAGTCGTTTCGAGCGCCTACTCGAACAGCTGTGATTACACTGTTCCCCCAGATAACGAACAAACAGTGTGGGGTAGTGGGATAGTAGCTGCCACATGCGTGAGTACCTTGGCTAATGGTTAAATTATTTGGACAGTTCTTATTTTTTTGCATGGATTGCGCCCTTCGAACTATGCGATGACGATCAAGAAATGTACGAAAATGGTTTTATTATCTTGCTATTCGAAATATTGTCAAGTAACTAGATTTAGGATCTGAGATATGGACTTTTAAAAACAATGTTTTATTACGGAAAGACATATGATTGCCCAATGTACATACATACTGTACTGTCTCTGCTTACCACGTATTTTATCTAAGATTGTCAAACTATTTGTCATATTGTCGACTATACCTTTTCCTCTGAGCTGGTAAAATCGTTGTTGTATTGCTGTTGAGATATAAACACAATGAAATGAAGTGTGGTTGCTTCACTTGGGTTATTTATTTCCTTTATAAGGAATTTTAATTAGGGAAACAGACATTCGAGATGCCTGCTAAGCCCCGTGAAATTCATCAGTCCCTAAAAAGTTGGCCGAGCGAAATCCTGTTTCCCATCCTGGGGACACCGTTAATGGACTCGATCTTTATTTGCATAATTTACTTGGCATTATACAAAACAATTTCACACTTAGGACTCTTCCTGCCGTCGCATAAATGTTGTGTGCTCTTTTGGCACTCCTGCTAATGAGCGTCAGGGGAAATTATGGCAAACATAGAAGGGGAAACAGAGCTCTGCCAAAATCATAATACTTGTCCTTAAAGCATGCGGACTGATTCTATCTCAGTCGGCATTGGGGCTGTCGCTGTAACTGGCCAATGTTTTTCTGGTTTTCTGTTGGGATGCGTAAAAAGTGTGAGGTGGTGTGGGTTGTGCAGGGGGATGGGGCATAAAACCGCAACCGCATGCTGCTTTCTGCCTTCTGCCTGCCGCTGACACACATTAGGCACACCAAGGACACCAGCAGCAGCAGCAAACAAAAAAAAAACATCAACAACAATAAAACATAAGCCAGAACCGTGTTTGCTGCCAAATTTATTGCGGACCTGCTCGCCTTTCCCTCAGAGCCACAGCCACCAAGGCAGCAGCAACCAACAAACAAGCAACAGCCAACAATAGCAATATTCATGAGTGTGTTTCTTGTATCAGTGCCAGTGCCTGCAACAGGATGTGTTTTTTTTATCTGTGGAGATTGCTGTGTGTATGCTGTGTGAGGCAGCTGCGTGCATGTCTGCGTCGTTACTAATGACAACGGGACCGCGTTGCGCATCAACGAGCGACACCAAAAAGTCATTGACTCATTGAGTCCCTGTCTCTCTTCCTCTTCCTGTGTACGTGTGTGTGTGTAGTTGTATGGCAAGAGCCCTGTGCTGCAATCACCAACCCCTTTAGCACCCCCCACACACACAGCTGCAGCAGCAACACTCTCTGGCTCATGCATCGTGGGGCTTGTTTGTTTGTCGGTTGGATCGCTGGTTGACTGCGTCCGTCCTTGCCCCGCCGCCTGCCAGTGCGTGCTCCGCCGTACCACACACACGTTGCACAGTGCAAAAACAACATCCACATCAACCGTTATGGCTGCCCACTGTTCATTCTACTTCAATCACACTCCTCTGGCCCCACCCGCCCCATTCCGTCATCATTAGACATTGTCAGGTAGTTGTGTGCCGGCCAGCAGCCGACTACAACAGCTGCCTTGGCCCTTTCGGCCAGGCAACGTATGCCAAAAACTGTGTATGCCAAAAAACCAGGCCATGGCATAGCAGTGACAATATATTTTGCGTAGAATTATGCATAATATAATCGTTTAAATTAGCATTTGAATTACAAACCCTATTCACCAACCACATTCATTTGTTCAATTTATAAAAACTTAAATATATATTTGGATATTATATTTAACCCCAAATTTTGTCATACATGTGTACATACATCATATACTAATGAAATGATCAAATCATCTCCATAAAAATAAATGATATATCCTGAAGTCCTCATTTAAGTCATACTTCCAAATTACATTGCTTTGATTGCTTTTTACATTGCAATTACATTGCCCACTCGAGAACATGCCACGTATAATGTAGGAGCATAACATAATATTCCTAAATATAATAATCAATGACCGTTTGATGCTGATCAAGAAAATATATACTTTGTGGGGTAGGAAACGTTTCCTTCTGTGTGCCACATATGTGGCACGAAAAACACAATATACCCTATTTACTCTTCGAGTACCGGGTATAAATATTATCGAAGCAACCATTTTGAATAGAAAGTTCATAGGAGACAATGTTTTGTTTACAAGCATTAATCGACGTGCAAATTGAATTCAAACGCATTCAGTTTCCAAATGAACATTTGTAATGAACATTAATATGTCGCAAGCTTTGATAGAATATTTTCCATAGCGTACTTTATTTTTCTGCTTCGAACAAAACCGATTTTCTGAGGACCTACGATTTTTTTAATGAATTATATATCCAATTTTTTATTTACTTTCGAAGCGGAAAAATAATTTGCAAATGTTTCAGCCGTAAGCTTTCCCCTATTATTTTAAATGAGGAATTTTATTGTTGATCATTTCTGGCAGTATTATTGACTATTCCTGTTACTCCGAACGATGCAATTTGGAAACATGAGTTGAGTTTTTGAATGGACTTCGGCAAGACGTTTAAATCTGGATCCGTGCCGAGGAGCACGGATCAATGGTTCCGGTGGTGTATTGTACGTATTTATTTTACCTTAGCATGATACGAGTATTTAACCTTATGATTGTTTCAAGTTTTGCATTAATGTATTTATTACATACATAATTACATAATAATGATCCGATCTAATCCTTATTCGTGGACCTGATAGATATGCTCATTCTCTACAGAACTGCGTATTTAGTTTTCTCTTTTAGATTTTCTCTCTTTTGGATGAAGCTGATGATCGCCATTTTGAGTGATATCACACAAAATTTGGTGACTCCAGCTCTTATGGTATCTGAGAACGAGGCATCACACAAGACGGACGGTCAGACGGACAGAATTAGCGATATCGACTCGGCTGTTGATTCATGGTAATGAAACATTGCAATACAAATCAATCAATCGATCCGTTTAGGAGGAGTTCAGTCAAAAACCCCGAGACACGAGGGTCATAGTTTAAAAAAGATTTCTCCCAGTGGAGGGTCCTCTCCTTGCATTGCATTCAGAGCCGTTATTCAGTTGGTCAGTTGTCTTTTGCAGATGTGCATCCATTGTTTGAGTGCATTCAATGGCTCGGTTCATATCCGATGCCGGCCACTGGTCACCGCTCTACACCGCCCCCACCGCCTGGCAAACCAATTCTATAAATCTGCATAACAATTATGATCCTGGTCCTAAGTATTAAAAACAATAACAAAGAAAGGACTGTGCCCCAGACCCAGCCCACGACTACGGCTATTAACCATTTCGGCTCTGCCGGCCGTGTCCTCTGATAATTTCTAAACCAGAAGAGAGGCTATTTTCGGGAGTCGCATCTTTTGATACTCTTTTAGTTTAATCGTGGCTTTGGCATATATGTATATGTATATAAATACTGCAAGGCAGAAAAAACAAGGGTCTGTACAAGTTATTTTTTCAAGTAATAACTCATCCCGTACACTGCCAACATTAGATTATAATCAGAGTACCCTCTGTTACGAGACAACAATACGTTTATGCTGCCAGCTGGACCCAGGATCCAAGAGGACAGTCGGACACAGCCTTATGCACTGAACGATGCTGTTCTTCTTGTTGTTGCAGTTGTTGAACGTGGCATTTATGCGCCTGTTTGCTCAGCGTTTTGTATGTAGGTCAACATTTGCACGCTCTATGACTGACGTCAACATAGAGGAGGCCTGGTCCAGGATCCTGTCTCCCTCTGTTGCTATTCCTCTGGTCCGTTTCCGTTTCCCGTGTTTATGCTGTTGCTACACCTCGCCCGCAGTTGCTGTTGTCGCTGTTATGACAAATCCCCACCCATGCGCTTATGTACGATTCATGTACTCGTACAGCAGCTGACCAAACCAGCTCAGCCCCAATGGAAACCTGCCTCAACATCGTGTGAATAGTGCGTTATATATGACTATTCGTTATGTATGGGGCAGTATGTATCTATATATATAAATGTGTGTGTGTGTGTGTGTGTGTGTGTGTGTTTCATGTCCATGCATATGTACATATGTATATGTGAATGCAGAGGAGAGGCATGCATCACTATTGATTTTCATTTCTGCGCGTTTTACAACACGCTTTGTTGCATTTTATTTGCGCTGTCATTGACAGCAGCCGAACAGCCACCATCTGCACTCCACGTGCCACATTTTTTTTGTACTGTTCTTTTTTTGGGCGTTGTCCACTACATTTTTAATTGGTATACAGATGGGGCATTGGGACGCTGCTGATCCAGATCCGCCTCAAATGTACATATGTATGTATGTGAGTCGCCGGCCTGCCTGATGCACTTGAAAAACGCAATCGTCAACGCACTTTACATGTTTTCAAATTCGCTTCGAGCTTTACTCCCTTTTTTTCACCGCATTTCCTCCCACAATTCCTTTCACGACATGCATGGAAACGTCATTTACCATAATTACAGCCTTGAGGCTGCCGCGTCTTGAGTTTTCATATTTGGATGTATTTTTTACCCTTTACTTCGCCCGTTGATTTTTTATTGATTTTCGTGCGGCACTTGAATTTAGCATTTTTTAATGACTTTTTTTGCCATGTTGTTACTTCATTAGGAGCCCGATATGTTTGCGCAAATGTTTCATTTCTTGTCGAAAAAATATTTTCAAGTGGTCGAGCACTCAAAAAGGGAGAA